AAATCTGCATTTCGAGCATACGGGTTCATAAGTAGTACGCAACAGTCGTGATTTTAAAGAGATTGATACTCTTAAGAAATTATACTACTGTTTTATACGTTCGAAGATTGAATATGCATCGGTTGTTTGGAGCCCATACTATCGGAACAATACTGATCGTCTTGAAAGTCTGCAACGACGGTTTTTGAAACTGTTAAGTTACAGGTCAAGCGGTACATACCCTCCAATTGGTACACCTCATGGAGAGCTTCTAGAAAATTTCCGATTCGTGAGCCTGCACGTAAGAAGACAATACTTCTCTATCCTGGTCCTTTATAAGGTTGTTAACAATTTAATTGACTGTGCAGATTTGTTGGAAAAATTGAACTTTATTATCCCGAGATTATCTTCCAGAAATTGTGATACGTTCTACTTAGAGTTTCCTCGAACCAATATATATAAAAATTCACCCTTGTATAAGATGTGTAGTACATATAACTTGGTAGCTAGGGATATAGATCTGTTCAGCTGTGGAATAACTCATATCAAAACTTTTTATCTTTTTTCTCCTTCATCAGTGAATAACTAGATACTTAGTCAGGATATTCTTATTTTGTCATATTGTTTCGTCTATCCATTATGCTTATGTAATATGCAATGCATGTTTTTGTTTTGTCCTTTTTTCCTGTTCTGTAAATGGGGCAACCTGTTGAACAGTGTAAGAAATAAATAAAATAAATAAATAAATAAATAAATAAATAAACATATCGGTAGGCCGTAAAGAGTACATACATCGATGACCACCAACTCAGTGCAGGCCTCCTGGGTTATTCCTGCCCACATCATTACTGAACCACCTCCATAGCTCAGACGGGGACTGAACTTGCACTCTGCAAATCTTTCTCCGGTCCTTCTCCATAATCTTTTTCGTCCCTCTGGAGAATATATGCAAAATCTGGATTCGTCAGTAAAAATAACATCGTTCCATTGTTCTAAGTGTGCTACTGGGTGACGTGGAAGCAATTTGGGTCCAATTGCTGGTCTGCAAGCTTTCAAACCAAACTCCTTCAATCTTTGGCGAACTGTCCATACACTTACATTTTTGTACCTCGAACCTCTTGGAGTTGACTGCACTGATGTTGATTGACGATCCCGCAGAATTTAAACGTGAAGAAATTTGTCATTAGTAGCAGTAGTTTTTCGATCCCTGTCACAACCTGCCCTACGCTTATTTCCCGCAATTCTGACTAAAACGTTCGACTACCCTTTTGATGGTACTACGATGAACATGAAGTATTCTTGCAACATATTCCTAATTACGTCCATCTTCAACAAGGCCAATAGCTTTTGCACAATTTTCCGCACTTGAACCCAATGCAGGAGTATAGGACAATGGTATAGGTCTTGCGTAAAAAATCACTGTCAATTTGACTAAGGACAACAATGATCAAAGCCACCTCGCCAAAAAATGTGATGTTGTCATTACTAACGTCATTGAAGGTTGTGAAGTGTCACATTACACACCTCTACTTCTCGCCCTCACTTCTCGCCCTCACTACTTCCCACCCTCACTTATATAATATTTTTTCTACTCACATAATTAAAATGGCATTTAGCGTACGGATATGTAACACGCTAAATGATCGATTAATCACGAATTGTCGATCTGTGATTTATTCAAAATATTAAACACGTTACCATGGCAACACGATTTCTCAAACACATCACCATGGCAACGCAGGTCATTAAACACAGCTTCAGTAATTCGAGACATGTCTGGCCTGTCAATTGTATTAACTGTCAACTGTTATTTTCATATTTTGTATCAGAATTATTCAAACAATATTCGTTTGTATCGGAATTCTTCATTAAAAATATATGCGAAAAGTAGACGAGAGTGAAATCGAAGAGAATGTTCAGGTACTTTACATACCTCCAAGAAGTGTAAAAATGAAGCATCCATCTTTGAGAACAATTTATTTATTCTGCGCTAAGCATGACAATAAACGTGAAACAAAGGTTAGTAAGCAATGGACTGGACAGATCTACAACCAATATCACTTATACGTGTCTCGCTTGTTGCATGCAGTTGTATGTATTATGTTTTCAATTCCCATTCCTTTCGAATTATTTTGTAGGTTAGCAGGAATAGCAGGATTAGCAGGTATGTTGATTAATGTAATTTTTGGAGTTCGTAGAAAAATCATAGTATGTAACGCGTTTATAAACTCTTCTAGACACTCGTTTTTTAAACACTCTCTCCGCTCTGCTCCGCTCGTGCTTAAACTACTCGTTACTAAAAGGACGTTTATAACACTTGTTACATAATATACTAATTTTCTACTCACATAACTAAAATGGCATTTAGCGTACAGATATGTACCACGCTAAATGATCGATTAATCACGGATTGTCGATCTGTGATTTATTCGAAATATTAAACACGTTACCATAGCAACACGATTTCTTAAACACATTACCATGGCAACGCAGTTCATTAAACACAGCTTCAGTAATTTGAGACATGTCTGGCCTGTCAATCGTATTAACTTTCAACTGTCATTTTCGAATTTTGTATCAGAATTATTCAAACAATATTTGTTTGTATCAGAATTCTTCATTGAAAATATATGCGAAAAGTAGACGAAAGTGAAATCGAAGAGAATGTTCTGGTACTTGCATATCTCCAAGAAGTGTAAAAATGAAGCATCCATCTTTGAGAACAATTTATTTATTCTTCGCTAAGCATGACAATGAACGTGAAACAAAGGTTAGTAAGCAATGGACTGGACACATCTACAACCAAAATCACTTACACGTGTCTCGATGGTTGCATGCAGTTGCATGTATTATGTTCTCAATTCCCATTCCTTTCGAATTATTTTGTAGGTTAGCAGGAATCGCAGGAATGTTAATGTAATTTTCGGAGTTCGTAGAAAAATCATAGTATGTAACTCGTTTATAAACTCTTCTATACACTCGTTTATTAAACACTCGCTCCGCTCTGCTCCGCTCGTGCTTAAACTACTCGTTACTAAAAGGACATTTATAACACTTGTTACATAATATACTATTAGGTATGTTCAGAACGAAACAGAGATTTATCAAGTTTGACCGAAATACGATGGTTGTAAATGAAAATAAATAGTATACAAACCTCGGTAGGAAGTTTCATTCCTGTCTCGAGATCATATAGCTACACCTCGACACTTTGCGTCTCGGTTAACTCACTAATCTCACGACAGGAATGGATCTCTTCCCACATCGGTGTGTTAAATACTATTCCTGAATTAAACTGTTGTGACAAGTTCATTTCGCTCTTAAAAATGAACCAGTGCTCTCAAAGACATGAATCAAAAGTCAAAATATAGAAAAAGAATGGTTCCTAACAAAAAATTATTGTTTTGAATAATTTGGCAACGAAACACAGGGTGTTTCGAAATTAGGGTAATACAACGACCTTTCATTTAACCCTGTATAATGACTAATCCGCCAGCATTTAACATAAGACTGGATATACAAGTTGGAATTAGTCGTTTTATCTACAGTTTGTTGAACAAATTATGAAAATTAAACCGAAAATTAAAAAGTTATGAGAATTTAAATTTGACCGAATATTGACTTGTTGCGTTTTTTCTTGCATCTGAGTATATTAATACTAAAAAATTTTGTAATACTACACTATATCAAATATTACTACTACCACTACAATATAGTATGATTGCTCTGAGTGTATAATACTACACCTGATTTTAGTCTAGTCATCTTTTCATTCATTCTTTGCAAATTCTTCATCAAAATCGATGCTGTTTTCCTGCCTCATTGTAAAAAGTATGTACGGCAGATAATTTGTTACCTGGAAAACAAATAGGTACATTTTTGCATGTTCAGTTTTGTAGGAAAATACAAAATTTTTTCGATTCTTATCTTCGATTGATGGAAAAAGCTAGTAGTAGGCTCTAATTCATAAATTGCCAGGTTTACAAAAACAAAGACATGCCCAAAAAAGAATTATTCGGCTAATAATCAACCTCAAGAGAACAGATTCATGTAAACCTTATTTCAGGGACAACAAAATACTGACTCTTCCGTGCATATATATCCACAGCTTGATTACCTTCATTAAGAAAAATGAAGCTTCAATATCAAATAATGGTCTACATCACAGATATCCGACGAGAAATGGGGATTTATTGAAAATGTCGAAGCATAGAACCAAACTTTTCGAAAAATCACCCATTTTCATAGGATCCAAAATTGTCAACTGTCTGCCCATCGAGATCAGGTCTCTGTCAAATCCGAAAAGCCTCAAGCAAAAGACGAGACAATTTCTCAGTGATCAGGGATTTTATTTATTCCATTGACGATTTTATCAATCATAAAAATACATTATAAATAAATAAGATGATGTATTCTGTATATATATATTTGCATATATTTTCATGTCATTTATATACTATTTTGTTTCGTACAGTTTGTTTGTTATTTATTAATACTTCATGTGAATGTATATCATGCTTTTTTCATGGTTTTGTTGACTTTTCCTATACCAATGTAAATTGGTCTATTGGATGAATAAATATTCTATTCTATTCTATTCTAATCGTTCGAATTTGTCAAACATAAATTGACTTCATAGGACTTTAATTTCAGATCAGCAGAAGTTTGTAGAACCAGCCCAAAGATCTCAAGTTTCTGTATATTTTTCACTCGACACAAATAACGTTTACAGCTATGTATACCTGTTCACCATCATTCGCCATCGACCGATATTTTATTACCAATATGTTTTCAAAACTCTCCCTAATCGCTCAAATTTCGAATAAAAAACGATTAAATTATTGAATCAAAAATGGTGGTTCTCATTGTTTTCCCCATTCTTCTATATTTATTTCGATGACGTCCTGTCGTTTTTTATCGGTGGTAACGGTCCTGTATAAGCCAGTCTTGAATGAAAATACCCAAAAAATATGCCTCTCGATTTTTTCAGAATCAGCTTTCATGAATTATGTTTTTTTCAGCCTGTTTTCGAAGGGTCCTAGCTGGAAAAAGAGTATCACGTGCTTTCGTCAAGAGGGCTTCGATTTGCGAAACAGTCGAGGAATGTCAAAAAGAATGTGCGGACGAGAAACGATTCAGCTGTGAAGGTTTCAATTACAGGTAAAAGTGAATTTTCAAGATATATTACACCCTGTATGTTCAAATGAGTGAGTGATCAAAATTTCCATAATATCGTAATATCGTATAAGTGGTATGATGTAGTTTTCAAAAACACAAAGCATTAATGTTTCAAATATTAAAATATGGGTGTCCCATTTTAATCTTTATTTGGAAATTTCTCGAAATGTATGGATCTGACTAAAAAAATTGCCGAATAAAAGTTGTATGGTTTGGAGGGGGACGTGGAGTGGGAAATTGAGGTAACATTGAAATCTAATGGAAACCCCTATTTTTTATTTCTGATTCTGGAAGAGCATTAAAAACTATGAATCTTTTATTCAGGAACTTCTTTTCTATTTTCACAAGATGGCGCTCCCAACTAGCATTTTCAGTCACAGGCACCATGGTTCAAGAAACTATTACCTATATTTAGTGATAATAACGTATTTATCACTTATTTCAGAACTTCATAGTATAAATGTCAGTGATAGTTATTTAGTGAGTGAAAATTACGTAGTTTTTACACTAGCTAATAACTTCAAAGTGAGAAATTCTCATGGCTTATTACGAAGTAACTATTTCGAAACTGTCACTCCTCAAAACTACTCTTAAGGTTTCGGAACTTTGGATATATTATTACGGTAACGCTTACCACCCCAAGAAGGCTTCACAGTTGCAATTACTCTATGGTCACCAATTAGGTTTCTATGACGTTGTCGTTACTTGATCGATCACCTAATAATTTAGTCAATTCTTGGTGATATTTCAAGTAACATATTGGTAATTCCTACTCAAACAATTCCTTCATAGTTGAAACAACTTTTCGGTAATTATATTCAGTTGAAGTTACCAATACATAGGTTATCATAACTGACGAGTTCCAAAAGTAACTTTCTGATTCATTTTCGATTGGAAGCCATATTGATTGATGTGATAACCATTTGAACAGGAAATAATTTTGGTTTTTCTTGTTGATAAACATCATTTTATGAAGAATAATAGCATTCGTTCGATCACAAATTGCATAATAATGGAAATTAACATGATTTACGATGATTTTTGAAAAATAGCCGAATGAAATAAAACCATATTTTTGGTGAAATGAGCCGTATTTTGTGGGCGCATCTTGAATTTCGAGGCAAAATCATCACATTTATCGAAAAACTGAATGTTGTTCGAATTTTTCAAGTTCGAGTATCAATTATTTCGCGTGTTTGTCCTTGTATTATTTATTGAATGGTTAGGCATATTGGACTTGTTCATTTTTCGTGAATGTGAACTTCATGGATGAAATGAAGAATAATAAAGAGAGAAAATAATATTTTTATGAAGTGGAAAAGAAATAGAAAGTCAGGTAGGAAAATTTACTACATCTTTACGTAATTTCGACGTCGACGGGTCGTAAGCATTACGTAATTGTGTGAGTTCCCGCTACGTCGGCAAACCGTAATAATTACTCGTGATTTGTTCCCCATTTTGGTCGTAAATACGTAGTAACGACGTAATTATAACGTAACCGCAACTAGTAAATATTACTTAATAGTCGACCCAATAGTCGTAATTACGTAATCGCGACTATAAATGCTAGTTGGGCTGCGATCTTGAAAAACAATATTTTACTATTTAGTTTGTAGTTGGCCACCCAGATCACCCGACTTGACTTCCCCAGACTTCTTTCTGTGGGGTTACATCAAGAACATTGTGTTTCGCGAACCCCCAACCACACGCGAGAATATGAAAGATAACGCCTGCTATGTTGGAAGCGGCAATGCGGAATTTTGAAAAACGAATGAACTTGTGTACCTATTCTAGAAAATGGAGGTCATTTCGAACACTTGATAAAGTGGTCAATCTCACTCAAAACCAGCTCTAGTCTGATCTAAATGATACCTTAATTGCTGAAACATGCTTATTTTTCTCTTTTCTATGTAGAGGTGTCAAGGTGAGTAAGTTTGTTCAGCGTTAATTTGTCGTGTGAATATCACCCCAATGGCGTTTGTCTGGGAAAATATCACACCCTACACTCTTCCTCGTCTTCAGGGGGTTGAAATGTGTAAATAGTGAAATATTGTTTTTTACGATCGCAGCGCCATCTTGTGAAAATAAAAAAGAAGTTCCCGAATAAAAGCTCCATAGTTTTTAATGCTCTTCCAGAATCTGCAATGAAAAATAGGGGTTTCCATTGAAGATTTCAATGTTACCTCCATTTCTTACTCCCCTGGGATTCAGGGGGTGAAACTTGTTTTATAACCAGACGTCCCCCTTCAAACCATACAACTTTTATTCGTAAATTTTTTTTGTCAGATGCATACATTTCGAGAAATTTCCAAATAAAGATTGAAATGGGACACCCGGTATATAATATATACCTATACAGCGTTCTATTTTGAAAACATACAGGGTGAATCAAAAATGTGTACCGAGCATTCTGGATGTGATAGTACATTGGAGAATAAGTATAGTTTCCAGACGGTACCCCTTCTATATCTCAGCTATCAGTCGTGCGATGTTTACAAAATTTGTATCGGTATGAATAATCATCAATATGACCAGTTCTTCGAAGACAAACGTCATTTTAGACAGTGCCGTGCATTTTTATTGTAATGAATAGGTGTAGTAGTATTGTTCTTCATGATTTCAAACTCACATATGTGAATTTTCATAAGATGCCTATGAAGGGTTCCAGAAAAACAGGCACATCTAAACAGCATTTTTGTGAACGTAATAATTATTTACTAGGAAACGGTGAGTACAACATAAAAAAGTATAACTCGTTTTTTCTTCAAATCATGATTTTCCACCTACTGGAGCCATTGAACGTTCCAAAATTCGTAGTTGATTCGAAGCAACTATTTATTCAAGACTGAAAATGAAAAAAATGAAGCCAATCCTTTTAATTCAGAATCAGGTGATTTTTCGCATATGGAGGTTCGAAAGCATGAGGAACAATAATATGAGCATCGTCCACCAATATATAATAGGTTAGATTTACTGTGAAAAAATGCCTAATATGATTTTATGAAAAATCGAGCCCTTTTTAGTTCAATAAAAACGCACGGCACTGTCCAAAATAATGTGCATCTTTGTTAAACTGATCATATTGATGGTTATTCATAATTTGGTTGGCATTGCATGCCTAATAACTGAGATATAGAGGGGGGAGGCGTTTAAAGTGAGACACGCTGTAGACTCATGAAATCTTTGATTTTTTGTCTCCCGAAATATGCAACTTTTGTTCCATTTAACCATTTTTCTATATCTAATCATCTCAGAGAGAAAGCAATAGTGGCACAACAAAATAACATTATATCAACAAAAATAAATGTTTACTTTGTTGAATTAATACTTAAACCATTGAAAATCAATGTTTTATAGTGTCGAGCGGCAAAAACCTTTTCGCAGAAGGAAATAAATAATAATAATTAAATAATCCTGCTGCGTAAAACATTTCATGGATCTCTGAGTTATACTAAGTATGTGTATATAATTGCAGGAGTCGCTCGTCATAATGGTTATTATTATAATAGGAAAATGGCGTTATAATGATATTCTTCAAGGCGACGAGAATTTAAGACCATACACATACAAAAAAAGAGTTCATGTTCATTTGTACGAAATTCTCACAGTTAATGAATGAGTCTTGGGATTATTTGGTGGTTGTTGAGAATGCAAACAAGTTGGGCGAGGTCATCAAAGATTTATATTACCATTAACAGATTAGGTGTTTATGGAAGAATATGTGAAATGATTTCCGATTACTGTGTCTTGAGCAAAATTATACTTACGTATACCTATAATCAGTATTAAAAATATTGAAGGTTTTATATCGGAGACTGAAACCTTACGCACGATAATACATTACACTGTTTTGATTTCTTCTTGAAGATGCTAACATAGTTAGCGAAACACGTGTCGAGTCGTATGAAAAATCGGTTTGGTTAGTGATAAAACAGTGCAGTGTATTGAAGGTTTTCATTTAGAGGTTTGGTCTTGACTTGAGTTTCAATTCAGTTTTATTCAAAAGATAAAATTAACAAAGTATTACCACACCATTTTTGGATGTATGACAAAGGACCCCGCACTTTTAGTACGTAAAATGGTTCTCGGTGAAATTTTCTGAATTTTCAGTATGTTGTAGAATTCGATGAACTGATTGAACCTGCAGAATCGTAAAGTTCTTTGATGAACAGATTCTGAGATACAGGTCGTTGAAGTTACAAATCGGTATTTTTCATTTAATTATTTTCTCGAAATTCAAAGATGCCAAGTACAATTTTTTTCGCTCATATCATCAACGAACCTCCATATTACTCAACATAATTCAGATGGTTCAGATAATGTAATTGTTTACAGAGTAAAACATATAAACATTTCAGTGATGTCTGAAAATTCGAAGTAATAATGGAATATCGAAAAAATAATTCAGGCATGCAATAAACTATTCTCATTCCATCATGAATCACAATTCATACATTTCATACAGGGTGATTTGAAAAATTGGTGACACCTAAGACCGATTTATTCATACACATCCTGTATATTCGAGTGAATGAATATAAACACAGGCTTCTTATAACATTTGTTTGTTCTATATCCACTTTTGACTCCACACAGCTTTGAATAATACACCATATTATTATACAGCCTCTCATCCTCTTTCTAAGGTATCTTCAGTCTACTTGTCACCACGGTTTCAACTAAAGTCTGAAATTCGCGAATCTTTCGAATTCAAATCCAAAATTTTTTTCGAACCATTTGACAGTTACAAAATACGAAATCTAAAATCACACTGCGGGGAAACAGTGACGTCACAGATCGCTCCCCCTCTCCGTGCACCCCCGCACCCTAATGCTATACTATGAGGTGACCTTATAGAAGTTAATAGACCTTGCTTATCTGTTGCGTTATGTCTCTAGACAATACCGCCTCTCATATCCCTTCTTTTCCAGGTTGGACCCGTCGGGGCGTGGCAAAGGCGAATGCGAGCTGGTCGACCGACCCCTCTCCCGCCTCGATATCGGCAGAGACCTCTACCCCCACCCCGACTACGACTACTACGAGCGCGACCGCAACGCCGCCTCGGCCAACTGCGACCGGCGGTCCGGCGGGGACGGGTGGCGCAGGCCCTACGGAGACGTGGCAGGCGACTACGGGGGCGTGGCAGGGGGCGGAGCGTACGCGGATAGGAGGCACGACTACTACGGAGGTGGGTGTGGATCGTTGTGTGTCAGGCTATGAATGAAACGGCTGTCATCATTTCCATAATTCCATTCACTCATCTAGATTTGAAATTGGGAAAGAAACGCACGTTGAGAACAATTGATAATGTGATAACTCAAAATTCTCAGTCTTGAGAAAGTCGACTTTGGTTCTGGTTCTGGTTCCCACGGAAAGGGATATTCTGTAATGTTCAGAGAACATCGTGAAAACCAAAGGAAATAAGGTAGGAGTTGGTGTTCGTTCGTTGGATGAACGAGTCTTTGGAAATTGATGTTCTGCAGGTCTCCAAAGTGACCACGAAGGGGTGCGAAGCCTCAACTCGACGGGTTAATCTCGCGGGGACTGCCAAGGAAGGTACAATTGTTGATAATTCAGAAGAGCATCGTCCATGAGAATATCTATAAAATAAAGCCAGATCACCAACTTTTCTACGGTGTTCCAGAGAAGTGAGTGAGGCATCACCCACGAGACGAATTGCCTTTTTTGGTCAGAATCCAACAGCTTCAAGGTATGTTTGGGTGCTGCACTCCAAATATGGAAACAGTATTCCAGGACAGGTCGGATCCGTGCCTTATAGATTATAAGCAGCTAACTGGAAGTAACTGAAAAACTAAGTTCGAACATTTTCGAAGGCCGTTGGTATGATCCTGTGAATGCGCAACTATTTTTCCATTTAACTGAATTCGTATTCCATTTCCGAGATCCCTATGCTAGGCAACCTCATCTTGGTCAGACTATATGAATATTTGAAAATATATTTCTTCTAGAAATAGCTAGAAATAGCCATTTAATAAATTCAACTTGCAGGTTCTCGCAGACCGCCTCCGATAGACTACCCCCCACTCCCGCTGCGTCGACCAACCGAAAGCTGGCCCGACGACTCCCGATACCCGAGCAGAAGGCCGCTCCGACCGGAACTCGACTACGACCGACGTCGTCCAAGCTTCGACGACTACGACCGCAGGAAACCCGGTTACGGCCACGGCTACGACTATGACCACGGTGGCAACAGGAGAGGAGGTAAATATCTGCCGGACAGCATCATCTGGGACGTGCTTTGCGTGCAAATACCGCTTTAGTGCAATAAGACTTTCTTCTGTCACTTATTCCTCCTTCTAGTGATCTCTGTAGTCTGTAGCAAGTGTGGACTAGAAAACACGGTTATTGTTCGTGTATCACTTTATAACTCACCTTTCAGATCTCTACTTTCAATATTTCAAAAGCACTATCACTGCCAATCGTGGATCATGGAACAACCGAGGTATACCAACAGCATCGAAGAGATCTTGCGAGGCTGCATTGTTCTACCCTAGTTGTACCATCGGTTCTAGCTCTGTATCAATACTGTACCATCTTACTATATTAAAGCTTCCAAAAACTGAACCTCTCGTTTTTTTCAGACTTCTCCTACCATACCCAAGACCAGTACCTACCACCACATCCTCTCAAACCGTCCACCCACGAGCCCTACCTACCACTCGGCTACTATGACTACCAAAAACAGAAAGACCGTCTACACTACAGCAACACGAGAAACCAGTATCTACCACCCAACAAAGATGCAGCCAAACCCTGGGGACTCTATGACAGTACTGCAAGTGCCAACAAGCACTACCAATACGGCTCCAAACATAGCTACAACTATTGGTCCTCCGACCGACATGGCTCTTTGAGTAGCAACGCCATAGGCGGGAGCTATTTACCTCCACCTGTATCTATCGGTGAGGGCGGGGCTTATCTGCCCCTTCCTAGGCCTTCGATCGATCATATTGTACTTCCGCCCGCGCCGAGTATTGGTGGGGGATTCGTACCGGTAGCGGGACCGCTGGGTGGTGGGGGTCATTCGCTTGTGATCGACAGCGCGAGTCTGCCAGCAGAGCCGCGGAGAGCACCTACTTACAATTTCATCAAAGATGGTAAACTTGGTATACTTAGGTGTATACAGGGGTCCCGAAATTGCTGGGACACAGAGCTACCACGTATAGAAGAGGTCAAAATAAGTTGATTGGACCCAATTTATTCATGTGCCAAAATGTACCGTTTGTCCGTGAGAAGGGTTCAAAGTTCACATAAAAAACACATGTTTGTACGCTGTTCAGAAACAAGTGGAACGAATTTGATGGAATTTGGCAATAGTGTATTTCAGAGGATTACTTTCCTTTTGGTAATCGAAGAAATATAAAAGAAATTGTAGAAGGGTTGAAACCACCCTCACCTCCTGAATTTTTTTTCAGTACTTTTTTATGGGTCATAGTACGGTTCTGAAATTTTTTGAGCTCAAAGACTAATCAATTACCTTAGTTTTATTGCTCTTGTGAAAATTTTCTTCACCGCATAGTTTCGAAAAAAAAATGCTACTAGATATTCCCAGTACAAGATTCATCAAATTGTGATATAAAACTTAGTTGGCAGTGGAAACGAAGGCATTTCGTGATTTTGACAGGAAACAAATTCATTGTCATTCAAGTTAGTTGTTGACGTTGTCTGTAGATGTTTCAATCAATTCTTCAGACAACAAGACAATATCTGAACGAATAATTTCCTGATAGATGGATTGGTAGGGGAAAAGAAACACCTATTCAATGGCCTCCGCGGTCTCCAGATTTGAATTCGTGCGACTTCTTCATCTGATGAGCGTTAAAAACACAAGTGTATGAAGTTCAAATTGATTCTTTCGAACAACTGTGGAACAGAATCCAAAATGCCGCAGACGCACTACGAGACAACGACGATGTCCTAATAAGGGAGGTGCATTTCAATTTTTTACGTCGAATTGATATTTGTTTTAATGAAGGTGGCGTCATATTCAACATTTATTATGAAGAAACGTTCTGCCTTTGGTTCCACTGCCAACTAAGTTTTATATCACAATATCATTAAACTAGTACTCTTGTACTATAGGACCCAGCGAGCACAAATATCCCTGGGATGTTTTGGGATGTTTTGAAAATGTTATTTTGAGACGTAATATGCACTGACCAAAGAGGTCTTTGAAGGATATTGAAGTATTGTTTTTGTTCTTCTGTGGCATTTCTTTGTTTGCCTACTGAGAGGTATCCCTGGGATGTTTTAGAAATGTAGGCATGAGGATGTTTTTTTGAGGCATAATATGCACTTCCCAAAGGGGTCTTAGAAGGATATTGAAAGTATTGTTTTTGTTCTTCTGTGCCCTTTCTTTGTTTGCCCCACCACAACGTCTCATGCTTACGTCACAATACGATGAATTCTGATTTGTTTTCGATTTTGTTCTTCTTGTTCGCAATTGGCATTCGCGTTTGCAGCGTGTCACGCTTACATCACGCTGCTAACGAACAGAAAGGAATTTGGTGAAGTTTATTGTGTTAGAAGACTTATTTAGTTTGTAATAATGACCATCAGATGCAAGATGTGTTGTTCGGTGCCTCAGTGTAATCAATATATAAAAGTACGAATTTATCAATACACAGGTTCTCCGCAGTTGCAAAATTATGCATTGTGGAGAACATTTCAAAAATTGGGAAACCTATTTCCAATTATATGTCTGTGTGTGGTAAGCATTACTCAGAAACCGATTGAGAAGGTAATATTTTTATGTTCAATCTATTTTTAATGCATTTTTTCATTCAAGGGAAATGAAATCCTAATGCAAAAGTTCATTTTGACAAAAGGCTTCAGAAAAGTACCTCGAAAATGTTTTTTTACAGCGATTTAATGTGCGCAAGACGCGTTGAAAATGTTCTGTTGTGTCCATGAAAAGGCTTTAAAAAGAACTAGGGAGAAGGTAGTTTTGTGACATATCAAGGACATCTCTATAATTGCCGCCTGCGGCGGACATTGGCTGTTCTATAATAGTGCTATTCATGTGTGAACAGAACATCGCAGTGAAGGTTTAATGTCGCGAAATCTCGTACTTTTAACATATCTGAGATGTTTTTGTGCTCGCTGGGGAGTATCTGGTAGCATTATTTGAGAGAACATTTTTTTTCTTCGAAACTATGCGGTATAGGAAATTTTTACGAGAGCAATAAAATGAAGGTAATTGATTAGTCTTGAAGCTCAAAAAATTTCAGAAAATGTCAGGAGGTGAGGGTGGTTTTACCCACAATTTCTTTCAGGTTTCTTCGGTCACCAAAAGGAAATTAAACCTCGGAAATACACTATTGCCAAATTTCATCGAATTCGTTTCACTTGTTCCTGAACAGCATACAAAAATGTGTTTTGTTATGTGAACTTTGAACCCATCTCACGGACAAACGGTACATTCTGGCACATAAATAAACTGGGTCCAATCAACTTATTTCGAACTTCTATACACGTGGTAGCTCTGTGTCCCAGCAATTTTGGGACACTCTGTATAATATATCATAGAGTAGTGTCAATCTCAGCGAATCGCTTAAATGTCTACCATTAAATTATAGCGGATTTGCGATAGAAAATAACACGTTGCCCTACCTGACGGCAACAGCTTGAACACTTCTGAGCGGTTTGTTTTGATGATGCGACCAATGAGCACAAACAAAAAACAAATGTGAAACAATGGAAACAAAGTAAACAGGCCGCTTTGACAGCTTTTAAGAACTCCGATAGGTGGCGTACGCTTATTTTCTATCGCGAATAGGAACAAATTTTATAAATTGATCGATATGTGAACTGTTTCGAGAATACGTATGCAATAAAATAATGGATGAGAGCTTCATCAACTATTTCACTTCTCAAAATGAACTCATAAGGCTCTCTATAAGGCTCTATTTGGGCTCTGTGGCCGAGTTTGTCTATGCGCTGAAATTCGCTAGATAGCCGTTCACGATGCAGAGGTACTGTCGGTTCGAATCCGGCTATCGGCTGAGCATTTTTCTTTAAAATGTGTGATTCATGGTTGTAATCCTGGCAGCACCTCGATGCCCTAGAAGTGGTTCGGATTCCACTATAAGCTGTAGGTCCCGCTCTTCCTAACCCCGCACAAGTTTCGACTTCTGGGGAGTTGGTTCCCAACTTTGAAGTAGCGATAAACAATTTTTTTTACAAAATAAGTAACGGGTATCAACATAAACTACACCACAATAAAAAAATTGCAAGCTGATGTTTTCCTGTTGAGTGACAAAATGAATATAATTTCTTTGTATTTATTCAACATTTCATTCCACTTTGAATATTGAGGTTATTTCGTAGTTGAAATTACACCAGTCGGACAACCAGCCACTCCCGTATGGGGATTCTGGTTTAGAAGTGTTTCTTTCCTTCTTTTCTACTCAGGTGGCGTTGCTCTCATATTGTCTATGGGGTACGCCTCTGAGGGAATATAATGCCGATTTGATTCTTGTTTGGCTTTGCTACGGTTAGTCGGCGGTCTTAGGACTGTTGGCTGGAGACTACCCACTGTGCAAGAACTCATACTATTAACGTTATTTCATTGTAACCAAGATACGTTGTTACGTTGTGAATTTGGTGCTATTGACATCTCAAAGATTATCTTAGAGTCCTTATAAGTCCACCAACAGTACAATATCGCAGGACGTCGCAAGTACGTTGAGTAAGAGTCGAAACTGATACGTGTCATGGAACAGCTTTGTTACAGTGAAAGTACATTCTCAAATAGTATTTGCGATAACGCTTTTACGTACCATGTCTTCATTTCGGAATGTAAAAAGTACATATCCCTGAACGATTCCAGAACATTCCTGTTTCATAATTTTGACTCTCTTGTAACATTACTAGGATATTTCGAAATATACAGGGTGATACTCCAAAAATGTCCACCCTTGTAACTTGGTTATTGCTAGACCAATATTCGTGAATTCTGAAAACTATTACTGGTATAATCACATAGCTAGATTTTATCACACTGGGTTTTTCATAATATGTGGGACGCGTCCTCTCATTTCTCCCACTACAGAGAACGATAAATATAGGTATAATGAAACAAACTTGGTTCAATCATCTCAAATGTATCGAACGAAATAAAAAATGGTAGGTATTTTTAACAACTTGGAAACAAAAGATTTCTGGTAATTTCTTTGAAGGATCATTTATTATTGTTTTGAGCTGCCCTATCACATCTTGATGTGCGTCCCATATATTTTGAAACACCCAGTATATATTTTCTGGCTAAAATAGTTTTTGAATTCTGCGATCGGTCCAGAAATGACCAAATTTACATGAGGGAACATTTATGTTGGATCACCCTGATATTTACTATAGTCAGCTCCATTGCTAAATACCTACTTATCAGAGGAAAAAAATAAATTCAGAAATGTATTCAATCAATGTATGTAAGAATGTAAGGTAGAACTACAATTGAAAATAAATGGATATTTGATTGACTAATTATCCTTCCACGTATGTCACTGCAGTTAGTTCAGTTTTATGATTCTATGGGCGAATCTATTTCAAGGCTGAGGATTTCATGAAATGCACCTGAAAGTTCGTGATAATAGTCCCACGGAAAATGATAAAAGTACGTCACATAAAATGTTCTGTGGATGAAATAAGAATACTTTGGAGAAGGCGTTGGAATATTGACTCAAATAAGATCACATAGACGTGCATAGGTCAGTTTACTGTTACGAAACAGCGACGTGTATCTGGGGATGTAGCAGAGTCAGCCCAAATAAGGGACGAATTAAAACGTCCCAGAAATATGTTATTATCACTTATAAAAGATGTAATCTCAAAAAGGTCACCAAATGTACAAGAAATTAACGTTACCAAACATCCCCGGGATGTTCCTTGCTCAGTGGGTGCCCTGCACTGATGGGAGTCAAATAGCTCGAAACTGGTCTGTAGGTGTCTAGCGTGGACTAACTAAATCTAAATCGATAGGCATTCAGGAAAGAATCACTTGTATCAGTATTCGTTTATACGAGTCGATGCGTAGATTTTTTTTTTTTATCGCTTGGAGCGCACGAGAGGGAATCCCTATAATGTTCAAAGAACATCGTGCGTTCCTAGGGAGGATAGGGACAGGAGGTAGGTATTGGAATTTTTTTTGAACTTCTGGAGATTATATGTTGTTGGGAATACTTCCACAGGCAATGAATTCCAGAGCCTAGCTGTTCTATGGATGAAGGAGTCTTGATAAAGTGCTGTTCGACATCTTTCGAGGTTGACAACGAAAGGATGTGCTGACTGGGCTTGTCTAGTTCGTCTGATTGGTATTGCTATGAAGGGATGATAGCAGAGATTTCCGAAGAACATTTCCCGTGGAAGTATCGATAGAAAAGTGAAAGGTCGCCGACCTTTCTAAGGTGTTCTAAAGATGTCAAAGAGTGAGTGAGTGTGGCGTCACCCACCAGGCGAATGGCTCTTCTGTGGATGGAATCTAAGAGCATCAGCGTATGTTTTGGTGCTGAACCCCATATGTGGGAACAGTATTCTAGAAAAGGTCGTATCTGCGCTTTGTAGATCATGAGAAGCTGTTGAGGTGTAAAGTAGCTTTTCGCACGGAACAAGAATCCGAGTTTTTGGGAAGCAGCTTTTGCGATGGATCTGACATGATTATCCCATGAAAGAGTGTTGCTGATGGAAATACCGAGCATAGATATGGTGGGCTTGGTGAGGATGGTGGAGCCAGACATTACAATATCGGGCATACTGAGTTCCGCCTTTCTAGAGAAAATGCAGGCTTGAGTTTTGGTGGCGTTGAATTCAACTAGGTTGTTTGTTCCCCAGGCTGTGATTTCAGCAAGATCTTCATTGACAGCATTGACCTGCCTGCGCCGTGAGGTCTTAGTTTCCTGGGAAGAAATGGGAATTCTGGAAGAGAAAGCAGTATGGAGGGTACTATCATCTGCAAAGCTGTGGATGGGGCAAGTTGTTACTCCCAACAGATCATTGATATGAAGCAGGAATAATGTTGGTGCCAAAATTGATCCTTGTGGAACGCCGGAATTGATGCCAATGGTATCAGACGATACACCGTCCACCACCACGTGAAGCGATCTGCCTGAAAGAAAACTCGATAAGAGATGGCATAGCTGAGGTGGTAAGCCGTATGATGGTAGTTTGTGGAGGAGTCCTTCGTGCCAAACACGGTCGAATGCTTTCGATATGTCCAACGCGACAGCTAGAGATTCCCCGTGTTTTTCTATTGAAGATTGCCATAAATGGGTGACGTAGGCAAGTAGATCTCCAGTAGATCTTCGGTGGCGAAAGCCGTATTGTCTATCATTGATGATTCCTGAGCTCTCCAGATATTTGATAAGCTCAATATTGATGGCTTTCTCCATCACTTTGGAGATTACTGATGATAACAGGGCAATGGGCCTGTAGTTGTTGGGCAGGTTCTTGTTCCCTTTTTTGGGGATTGGTTGGACTCTAGCTGTCTTCCAGCATGATGGAAAAATACCCGACCTGTACGAGATGGTAAACAACTTGCAGAGAATCGGTGTTAATTCTGGTGCACATTTTTTGAGGATAATGGGTGGAATTCCATCAGGACCGTTAGCCTTATTCGTTTTGAGACCAAGCAAAATTCGTCTGATAGTGCTTGACGGAAGACGATTTCGGGCATTCGACTCTCAACGGGTGGAATGTCTGGCGGCAGGATGTAATTCAATGTTCTGCGTGGCATCAGCCAGGAGAGTAGTTGTTTTTCCTCCCGAAATCTACCATTGTTGTTCATTTTATGCAAGTTATGTGGAAATGAGCTTCTTGTATTCATTTAACATTTCATTCCACTTTGAGCAATGTGGCTTATTTCGTAGTTGAATATAATGTTTGCCGATAGTATCTGCTCAACTTACACTATTATCAAGACTTCAAATAGGAGACATACTTGATTGAATCGAGATATCTCAAAATATATTTGATGTGACTTTGCAGGATCATTGATTCTTGAACAAGTATCTCAATCGTTGGAGATTGACACTACTACAGACTATATGCACCATGGATAATCTTCTACTACCTATTCATCATTAAATATCATTTCTAGAATGTTCTCTGAGATCAGCAACAGGATTTCGCTTACACAAAGGAATTGTCAAGAAATTTTACGCGGTACCGAATATCTACGAGTGTGAACGACTTTGTTTCAGAGAAAAAGATTTTCCCTGTTCCTCATATGCCTTCAGGTAACAAAAAAAAGTAGACTTTTTTATCAAAGCTATATGAAATCTCTTGAATGAACATGACATTCGTTTGGACCATATTTGGTTTATTAACTTTCAATGGAGTACCAATTTGTTTTGAGTCAATTTCGATGTTTTAGGTATACTATAAATTTATCTACAGCAACGGACAACTGTTATTTGAGTAACAGGAATTACAAAGAACTGGACTATTATACGGATCTGGAACCTGACAAAGATTTTGATATTTATACGATGAACAACAAAAATAGATGTGATGAACCCATACTACATGGGAAAGATACTAGTGGTATGTATAACATTGAATTTACTCTTCTACATACTCCAATTCACTATTGATTGATTGATTGATTAATAGCAGAATGATCAGTCAGGGTTCGAAGCCCAAAACACTGCAGCCTTTGGGCCTATTGTATTCCTGATCATGCTGTTGACTTAGTTGAACAGGTTCGCTACCTTGATAAGGTTTAGCAGCCTCTTTACCAAATCATTCTTTGGAAAGGCCTCTTGAGAATTTACTGCTCCCAGAAGGTTGTATCTCCAACGCGCTAGTGCTTCGCACTCCAATATTACATGGGTGGCAGTTTCCTCCTCCTCATTGCATAGTCTGCATATGGGTACGTATAGATGTCCATTTGATGCATATGTTTCCTCAAGGGGCAGTGACCGGTTATTAGTCCCGTCACTTGTCTGATCTGACTTCTGTTTAGGCTCAGAATGTCGTTAGTCACTGTTTTGGACAGTGTTCCAACCATCAGTTTACTGTGTCTTTCTCCTGGGACATTGTTCCACTATGCCTGATGTCTTTCTTGCCAGCCAGCCGCTTATTGAGGTTTTGGGGATACCGAACACAGGTTCCGGTCCCATAAACATCGCCGCAGACCCTTGCCAAGCTGCTTCAGTGCCTTCAATTCCCTAATGCCCTGGCACCCATTGAATAGTTACCTTGTTGTGGTTAGCCAGGGTTAGCAAGCTTTGAAGGCAATCCCAGACCAGTTTTGATTTTCAAATACAACACCCTGTATTTCATTCCATAATCGGTAAGGGATTATCATGACGAATTCAAAGATACCGGATTTGATAGGGTTATCTCAAACGATTACAAAGATATTCGCGTTCTATGTTTCCATATGCTCAATGGGTATGACTGCGCAATATAGAAACATCTTTCTCTGTCCCACTTATTGAGCAAATGGAAACTTTGAACACGAATATTTTCGTAGTCGTTTCTATTAGCCCTATCAAACCCGGTATCGTTGAATTAATAAGTAATAATCCCTAACCGATTATGGAATAAAATACAGGGTGTCTCATTGAAAAATCAAAAGTTAGGGTCGTTTCTGGTTAGACCGGAAGTGATTGAACAAAAATTGTTTCGTCAATTAATGAACAATTTGGTATACTTGCTACCCACCAATTTTCGAAATCCGATCTAGAATGATTCAGAAAATACAGCACTGTCCGTTTTTTGTGCACTTCTCTGTATGTTCGTATAGTTTTTTTCATTCTTCAATCACATCGAATTGATTTGTGATCCGGTTTAGTTTCCTACTGCCACGGGTCAGTGAACACATTTTCTCACTATAATTGTTTTGCAGATTGCTTCTGGAGAGTGCGAAGTGGACAACGCATGGACCACAAAATAGTTAGAGACTCTTTGATCGCTAAATCTATAGTGGATTGTCAATTAGAATGCTTGAAAGCGAACAGATTCACGTGTAGAGCATTCAGTTACAGGTATTTGTCCATCAATATACAGGGTGTCTCCAGAACTGGAGCGATGTTGAAATGGGTGATATGAGACGGAAAAACAAAACAAAATGGAAGAATACATTTTTACGAAAAAAAATATTTGGAAGATATTGAATTTTGAAATTTAAGCCTGAACTGGCCCAGCTTTTGAAGAACACTGATCAGGCTAGGCGATAGAGTTTCGTATAGAGGTCATCAACCGATGTCGACTCGATCGTCATAGTCAAAGGCAGGAAGGTACAGGGTGATTCACCATAAATGTCCCCCCCTCTAGCTCACTTATTTTTGAACCGATTTAAAAATTTGAAGAATAATCTGAAATGATTTTTCAGAATTTTTTTCCCGTTGCATCAGAAAATACAGGGTGCTCGGGACAAATGATCTACAGAGTACTACTTGATTTTTTCGAATGGAACACCCTGTATTTCATTGTATTTTTAGATTCTTCCTGAAGAGCTGATTCCATCAATGCATCACACTTGGGGTCTAGCGGGAATGATTACAGAGATATAGGGTGTTCAAAATCGAGATTTTTCAACTTTTTGCATAACCAAATCAGCTCTTCAGGGTGAACCTGAAAATACAATGAAAAATAGAGTGTTCCATTTAAAAAAATCAAATAGTACCCTGTAGATCGTTTGTTCCGAGCACACTGTATTTTCTGATGTAGCGGAAAAAACCTTTATCGAAAATCATTCAAGATGATATTTCAAATTTAGAAATCGGTTTGAAAATAACTGAGCTAGAGGGGGAGACATTTATGGTGAATCACCCTGTACTTATAGTGAGGAGGTTAAATAATTACTTATGATTTGAAAGAATTTCTCCCTGGGAAAAGGTGAATTAGTTGTTAAACTAACCCTGGAGAGTTAGTAGAAGAATTTTTTCCACCGGAATGTTGAGAATAGTGTCTTGAAGCTGTGATAGATTCCTGTGTTTACGAGTTATCAAGTATATAATTCATCACAATACCAAACTAAAAAACAGAAGACCAAGGAGAATAATGAAAGTATTCGACAGAAAATATCGAAATTGATTTTATTCAATAAGTTTAGTGCTAATTGATAATCTAGCTTCTTCACATGATTTCTATTTTTCAACTAGCTTCGTTTAATTCTTAAGAAACCAAACAAAACCATACTGAAAAAAAGAGAAACCAATTCCTAAAATCACCTAAGTATAGTTTATCCAAAGTCAATTGGAGTGTCTCGAGTCGCACGTGCACACACTTCAAAAGAAACTTCGAACCCGCCGACACAGCACGGTGCGGGAGATGCTTCGATTGACTTTGGACGTTGATTGATATATTACGCTTCTATATCAATCAACGCTTTGGATAAAATATACCTACACCGAGAAAAATCCAGTTATACAAGTCTCTACTAAAAAAACATCCAATAACCGCTAAATGAAACATTTCAACCACGAAATGTCATCTGATGAACGTGAAAAGTCAACGTTTTCAACGTGAAACCGGTCACCTTCCCGAATCACTCTTTTTGTTTTGAAAAGGTTAGATTTGAAATGGAACAAGATTATAGATGAAAGATGGCATTTAAAATATAATCCTTTAAATCCTAAAAGATGTCATTTCACAGTTATACAAGTATCATCTAAGTTCCGTCCCTTCTTCATTTACCATCTTCGTCATACTCGTTTACCACAATGAGTCATCTCACTCACTTATGAGCACTTGTTCCATCAGAATCGTTAGTCGTCTACGGATACCTGATATGTAAGGCCATATTAGCCCGCAGCAGCTCGTGAACACTTTTTACAGGGTGATAATTTTTATTTCGAGAAAGTGAAGTGTTTGAATGATATTCTAGAAATTTAAGGGACATATTTGTTCATATACCCCCCAAGTATAGGATCTGTTGAGGAACTACAGGAAGTTGAACTGCATCAGGGCATTATAGTATTTTCACGATAAATCGGTAATTCTTCCAATCTGTATAAAATTTTGTATTTTTAAACAACCTTACTATTCACTATAGTGGCAAAAGCTTGGATTCACACAGTTATATCGATGATAAATTGTATTGCGTATACAATATGTCCAAGAGGAGGATGTCTTTGTATCCTTATCTTGCGTGATAAGCGTGCTTGCCAGTCTTCACTACGTCGTGCGAGGATCTGCATAAATAGTGGTGGTGCTCATTTTAAACATTCATTGTAAATCTGTTCATTATCAAAAACTCGTCAACGTTCTTGTCATGAAATGAAATGACTCTATTCAGTGTCTCTGTTCCGTAATAATTTGAATCCTGGCAAAAGTGCGGGAGTGCGAATGCAGCCAGCCGCAGCGTTGCCGCATCAAACCAGTGCATCTTAAACCATGGTGAATAAAATCACACAATTTTCGAAAATTTTGACTGCTCTAAAACTTTTTTTGCGTTTTATTGTGTTGTTATAGCTCGTACAATACCCCATTTCAAAGGTCGCTCCAATTTTAGTAATTCCATGAATAGCATATTCGTAGTAGTAATATTATAGTAGTCGTATCTACCTCATAGTATAAGATCCGATCATCAGTTAAGGTAATCATTATTACCTGCTCGCTTACATCTCACATATATGGCAGCAATCTATTGAAAAATATGGTGAAATCTTAGCCGTAGCACTTGATGTCTCCAAGGCATTCGATCGAGTCTGGCACCACGGACTTCTCGCCAAGCTTCCATCTTATGGCTTGCCTCTCCAGCTATGTTCTCTGCTAGCTAGTATTCTCTCAAACAGATCTCTCCATGTAGTGGGTGACGGAGTTTCATCTGACTCTCTTATCATAAATGCTGGTGTTCCGCAAGGATCAATTCTAGCTCCAACACTATTTCTACTCCATATCAACGATTTGTTGGAAGCAACTTCATGTCCAGTACACAGCTTCGCGGATGATAGTACCCTCCATACCGCCTTCTCTTCCATGGCTCCAATACCAGCCAGGCAAATCAGAAACGAACGAGGGAGAAATGTTGACAACATAAATATGGACTTGGCAATAATTCTCGAATGGTGATCCAATAAATTGGTAGAATTCAATGCAAACAAAACACAAGCATGCCTCTTCTCTAGAAAAGCCGATCTCACTGTGCCAACATAAGCTTTTCAGGAGTAACCGTTCCTTTGAAGACACCCATTTCGATGCTTGGTATTACTATCAGCAACAAACTTTCTTGGGAAAATCACGTGAGATCAATTGCTAAAAGTGCATCCCAAAAATTTGGTTTTCAGTTTCGGGCCAGGAGCTATTTCACTTCCAGTCAGCTGCTTATGATCTATAAGGCACAGATCCGACCTGTCCTGGAATACTGTTCCCATATTTGGAGTGCAGCACCCAAACATACCCTGAAACTGTTGGATTCCATCCAAAAAAGGGCAATTCGTCTCGTGGGTGATGCCTCGCTCACAAACTCACTCACTTCTCTGGAACACCGTAGAAAAGTTGGCAATCTCGCTCTATTTTATAGATATTTCCATTGACGATGAAATATCAACAATTGTTCCTCCCTTGGCAGTCCCTGCGAGATTAACCCGTCGAGTTGAGGCTTCGTACCCCTTCGTAGTCACTTTGGAGACCTGCATAACATTTCTTTCCAAAGACTCGTTCATCCAACGAATAGCGAGACTCTGCAACACATTGCAAAGGAAGGTGTTTTCCGAGGCATATAACCTCCATAAATTTAAGAAGAACACCAATTCCTACCTTATTTCCCTTGGTTCTCACGATGTTCTCTGAACAATACAGGATATCCCTTTTCGTGCGAACCAGAACATAAACATGTCGTTTGTTTTTCATTATCACTGGTACGTCATATAGGTAATAGACTAATAAAAACATGTATTTGAACTTTTCAAATGATATACTGATATCTATAAATAAGATTCACTTGATTTATATGAGATACTCCATGAACGATATGTATCGCTCATACACTAGATTCCTCAATAGTTTACTACTACCTACCCACCTACCTACCTACCTACCTACCTACCTATCTACCTACCTACCAACCTACCAAACTACCAACCTATACCAACCTACCCAACCTACCAACCTACCATAACGTATTTTCATTCTTCTAGATACGGCTCTTCGACTATAGGAGGATCTATAGACAACTGTCAGTTGACGGATTGGCCATTTTACGAGCTGGATCCACGAATACATTTTATTCCTGAAGCTGGCTTCGAAATATACGAAAGGGGAAGCTTTGGGCACGGCTGCGAGCCTGATCATTTTGGCATCAGGGGCCAACATCACAAAGGAGGTGTTTCCAAAGCTGACGAACGTAAGTCTCAGAACCATTTCTCCTGAAGATGACAGGTCCATTATATGTCGTCTTGACAATGGGTTGCGTGCAAGAACTGTCAGATGACCGACGCTGGAGGCACAACATTGAAACACAACCTCACTTTTCTTATTTGTTTACAAGTGATGGAAATAGTTTTTCACAATTATTTTGGCATACGAATCGTATTTTTCCGCTATTCATCAATTCGCTCATGCCATCACATTATGCTGTTGTGAAATGCACAAAAACTGCAGCGGAAGACGAAGTAATCGGGTTGGTACATTATGATTTGAAAGTAAGTACCTACTATAGTCACTCACATATAGTTTTCATTTTTGAAATTTGATAATTTCTCTGATTTCTCATCGGAATTCCTTCTGCGATAGGAGCTAATAGAAATACACCTGAAATTTCTAAAATAATGCAAGAAGATTGAATTCATGCAATCAATCGGGAGGACTGGTCTGACATGCTGACGATCGTGTGTGTTGTAGACATTTTCAATTATAATAAGGAATGACAACATTTCATAATGATAACTATGTGAGATTACTATTTACCTGAAAAATCATATTCTTTAGTCTCTTGCTGCATTTTTTGTGCATTGTACAACAGCACAATGCGAAGGCATGCTCGAATTAATGCATAGCGCAAAAAACACGATTCGTATACCGAAATATTGTGAAAAACTGTAACCAAATAAAAAAGTGAGGTTGTGTTCCAATAATTCACAGAAGAATGAGGTTGTGTTTCAATATTTTGCCTCCAGGGCCGGTCATCGTGCACGCGACCTATAATATCATCAACATACCCATCGATACGTCAGGACTACATGAGGTTTTAGTTGGGTTATATTTTCGTCATCTAATGGCATATAGTTCTTAGGTAGGATCATGCTGCCATCTATAGTCGACAGGTGCAGACCCTTACGTCTACATCGCTAGAGAAGTAGTACTACAAGTAAACCAGTTCTGTTGATAGATGACACTACCTGACTACTTGATTGGGATGATCCAACAGCCCTATTCCTTGAACTACACCTTTTCCAATTGTAATTTAGAAAGCGTCAAGTGTAATTCGGACAATATTATTTGTTATTCAGATTAGTTAATTGAAATTTAGAAAATATCAAATGTTATTCAGATTAATCTATTGAAATCCAGGAAGAGTCGATTGTAATTCAGATCAATCAATTGGAATTCAGAAAGCGTCAATTGAAATTCAGAAGGCGGCAATTGAAATTCAGAAAGTATCATTTGTGATTCAGAATGTATCATTTGTAATTCAGATTTGTCAATTGAAATTCAGAAGATATCAACTTCAATTCAGATTGGCCAATTGAGATTCATAAATAGTCCATTAAAATTCAGAAAGCCTCATTTGTAATTCAGAAATATGGAACAGTGTTACCTATGCTTGTTGAGCCAAGTGTAATGAATGTAGGTAATACATTACAAAGCAATATTTTATTCGGAAATTACGTTTTTTATTATAACTTCCCCATTTTATTCCTATTAAAAATGATTTCAATTGACCATCAACGAAAATATTCCATAATTCTGAAGTCGCTGGTTTTACATGAATACCTCCATAAATCCATCAGTCTGAATTTCAATTGACACATTCTCAATTACAATTGATGATATCTGAATTTCAATTGACGCATTATGATTTTCATTTGACTAATCTGAATTACAATTGAAGATTTCTGAATTTCAATTCTCTAATCCGAATTACAATTGATATTTTTTGAATCTTCTGTAGTAGTCCATGCTCAAAGTGGATTGATATTTGATATTTTTGAATGTCATGTTACTTATCTGAATTTCAAATAACGTAGTCTGAATAACAATTGTTACATTCTGAATTACAGATGACGGTATCCGAACTTCAATTGACGATTTCCAACTTCCAATTGAAAAATCTGATTCACAACTGAAGTTTCCTGAATTTCACTTGACTAATCTAAATTGCAATTGATATTTTCTGAATTTCATTTGAGAAATCTGAATTACAATTAACGCTTTCTGAATTACAATTGAAAGAAGGTGTAGATCTCATAACTAAGAGATCGAGGATGAACATCAGAGTTGCCTACATTTTTCAGCAGGAGCGAGAGTTTATTCCGCTTGTAGTACCACTCTGTACCGTGTGGGTCTTCACTTGTCGACTATAGATGACAGCGTTAGATTCAGTGTGTGGCGTGATCGTGTGATTCTACGTTAGAACAATGCCACTAGGTGGCGATACCATGACTAGAACCTCCGGCGTCTTCGAAATGGGAGATATACTCAAAACGTTGACCGATAATGGCCGATGAGGCCAGGTGGGCCGAAACAGTACTGTCTGCTCCTGCTGACATATGTGGGCAACTATGTTCATTCTAGATCTCTTAGTTATAAGATCTAGTTCGATACACTCATCAATATTGATATATCCTTTGTTGTCATAGTTTGTTACATTGGATTTGGATCTCCAGCCCGTTTGTTACCACAAGCAACTAAGAAATCCCTCAACGTTCTTTCTGAATTGGAATGCAGAGAAGAATGTTCAAGAGCGAGAACGGAAACGCTCTTTCAGTGCATGTCTTTCAGTTTCAGGTAGGAATAATTTCAGATCACAAATACATTATTTTCACTTGGTTTTGTCTATATTCAGTATTTTTTTACTTTATTTATGTGTTCAAAATATTGTTTCATGACTAGATCGAGTTTATTTGTAAATTCAAAACAATTTCAAGCAACATTTAACATTTGTATCTTTCTGTTGATTATATCATCCATATCCGTTCTGAACATTGCAAAAAAAAACAAGTGACAGTTCATAGGCGCATGCGATCAATAATGATGTATAAATGGTAGTTTTAAAAACTAAAAAACACCCTTTCGTTGATGGCCAAACTGAAAAGAAGTAGAAGATAAAATAATTAAAGTGTGAATGTTTCGTTTCCACTCACTTCATAATTTCAGTTTCAATATATTTCGTTTATAATTTAATTGGGTATTTGGTATTAGTCTCAAAAATCTTTTCCTATTCTTTTCAATATAAATTCAATATAAAATTCACTTATACATTTTTGGCGCGTTATTCTATTGTGATTTTCCACAATCTCGTGGATTCAAACCACGGACGAGACGACGCGAGTATTTGGTGCGTACCTCCCATGGTACGATTCGGTGACAGCGAGCACAGTCGAAAAATATGCGTTAATGGTACCAGGTGTTGAGGTGTTGTGCACATTCTCGATCGGCTCAAGAATTCTCGATCTCGCTCAGAAACATTTTGATTGACCACTCTCTCGATCTACATCAATCTTTCCTATAGGTTAGTGATTATATCACAGCTCGTTTTTCTCATGTACTAAATATTTTTGTCTATAATATATACACACATTCACAGAGTGCAAAACATAGTAAATAATGAATACAGTCCATTGATTCGTAGAAGATAAACATTTTTGGTCCTTCGAGCCGGATTCGTTCAATATTTTGAACAGCTAATCACTATTCCTTGCAAATTGTCGAGAGATTTTGGGGCCAGTGCCCATCAGGGCCCCTCATCCTCAGGGAGCCCCGCGAAGTACCGACAATTTTTCTCACATTTATATTTTTGTCGAGCATATTGGTCATATTACCCATAATAAATAGAAGATCACAATAGAAAAATGATAGTATAATTCGCTATCTTAACTTTCCAAAAGGGCCATAAATTCACGTGTGCCCAAGGCCCCAGCATAGTTTAAGACGGCCTGTTTTGTTGTTATTTTGATAACCTAGAGGCCGACAAAAGCTATAGAGCTATTAATGATGTGTTCCGACGCAAAGAAAGGAGTTGTAGTGTTTGAAGCATTTTTAAATACCGCCAAATTTATGGAGATTATTACAGCCTCGTTCGAGAAATGCGACTGAATGACCCTATAATAAATATTTCAATTACTTTCGTGTAACGTGTCGTCAATTCGATGAACTTCTATCAATGGTGGGACCAGAAATACAGAAATTAATGTGTCAACAGAACCCTTACTTCCTGCAAAATTTCGTCGTATGAACGTACAATTCTGTTAAAAATTTCATATTTTGCGATTCGCATAAATTTTGCGTAATTCGTACAAGCATGAACTGAACATACCTGAAGACACTGCCGTGACTCTGGATATAAAAAAAGCAATGCGAAGTTATTCGCAAGGAAAACGAACATTTTAATTTTTGGTGAAGGAACATCTTGATTTTTTGGTGGAGGCACATCATTCACCATTTTAATCGAAAAAAAAAGCTCATCCTAAAGATCCTGATCAGATATCAGATATTCCGCGTTAGAAACAAACAAACCTACAAACATATCACATGCTAAGCGAGGTGGATAGAATATAGTGTAATCACAGTGTTTTGTTTCTCCCAAAACGATTGACAGCATATTCCGCAATAATGGCATATAAGTTCTCAGTTGTCCGCAAGATGGTGACTCTTTTTACAGATTTCTTTCATAACAGAAAACAGAAGAAGGCGCTTACACACCGCTTGCACCAGAAATAATAATATAACATTCATAACATAACCTCAAATCAAATGAGAATAAATTTAAAAGTACGAAACTCTAATTTTGGGGAATTTCAATTATCGTCAGTTATACCAACCTTGGATTTTGGCTGAGATTCCGCCATCTAACGGGTAAAATGTTATCTATATTCCGCGAAATTGAGAAGAATATTTCTGTCAAGTGGGCTGTAGGTCTAGAACTTTGACCGAAAAACAGTAGATGGGATTTGATAGGAGTTTCTACACCATCTCCTGTTCATCCTTATGCTAAGCTAATATAAGCGTGTTAATTAATAAATATACGAAACGTATTGTTTCCAGAACCGGTGCTCATCAGAAAAGTCTACCCAACTGCTTCCTCTCCGACATTTATCAAAGAGACCTACTGCCCAAATTGGATTACATTTTTGATCCAGACTTTTGGCTGTTCGCTTGGGACAACTTCAATCCAGAATGTGTAGCCCTGGCTAGTAATCCTCTACCAAATAACCACATCGGCATTGGAGGTGTAATCAGCCATGTCACCGATAGGAACGGTAATTACGAAAATTTCATAAATTCATACTCAACCAATTAGAATTCTTGGTAATTTTGCACTTATCATGCGATGGTTTTTTTTTTGATAATTTTTTTTGGTACTTACGTATTTATGCCTGAAAAACACGAATTTGATAATGAAAATGTGAACAAACCACTACTTATCGAGATATTTCAAGAAAAAGTTAGAAATTTCGCCTTCTCTTCCCCCTTATGTTGGATACAACTTATCAGTATCGACCATTTCACGGATTCTCCTGTATTCCCGCGATAGTTTTTGTTTACTAAAATTCATCAGACTTGCTCTACCAATACAAAAGCTGAATAGACCCACACGTGACCAACCAACCTCGCTTTTTAGCGATAAATATTTTGACGTTTATGACGTCAATTATGTTGGAAGCCAACATGATGAATGCAGTGTGCGAAACTCTCGCGAGGCGCTCGTTTATTGTTTCAATCATGAAATATTCATACGAATACAACTCGTGATACTATTCTGTCTTATACAGACTGTTACACAGACTAATACCAGACTATTAGGTACTTATGCTTCATTACAAACTGATATCAAAAATACATACATTGAAATGTATTCAAACGTGTCATGACAACACCTGTCATTTTTTCACCGCTCACCTAGTTACTTCGTCATTGAATATTTCCGGCGAAATTGTATCACTTGTGGTATCACATATGAATATTCACAATATCAGGATTTTACAATGTCGTTCGCCTTGTAGATTTTTCGCATGCCCTGGACACGTGGACGGTATACAGTGTGAGCGGTTGGCCGTGCAGAAGAGGCGCTCTCTGCAAAGAGAATAGGGAAGCCGGTTTCTGGTCCTGCGAACTGGAGGGGGGCGATAGGGGCGCTTGGGACTACTGCTGCAGGCCTGATCACCGGTGTGGAGCGTCGCAGGGATACCCGTATCAATGGTAAGCGAATAGAAGTCAATAATTATTTTCTTCACCGAGGGTTGTTTCAATAGGAGCTCCTGTGCTTATATAAGGATCCGCTCGATGTGACCAGCACAATGTTTATCGATTTTTCTCCTTTACAAAAAAGGTACTAGAGTAGTTATCTAATTTGTAGAGGAGAAAAATCGATAAACATTGTGCTGGTCACATCGAGTGGATCCTTATACAAGCACATTTTGAAATGTGCTTATATATAAGGATCCGAAACGAAACCACGAGCAAAATAAGAACTTCCGGTTTTTTTGTGACCACTCGTTCGTCTATAGAACGGCGCGAAGCTTTGGAATTCTGTGCCAATAGAAAGGATGTATTTCCAAGAACCTACCTCCTCTCCCTATCTTTCCTATAGGCTCGCACTATGTTCCACGAACATTATAAGAATTTCCTTTCGTGCGCTCCAAGAGATAAAAAAAATTACGCTTTCTGGAATACAACTGCGGAAAAGGTGTAGTAATTGAGGAGTTTCAGGGTGGTGAAAACATGGTTGCTGCCCATCAATTCATACTTAACTAACATTTATCGATTGATCCTTTCGTTGTGATTCTTTTCTACACCTTGTTCAATTGTAATTCAGAAAACGTAAATTGTAATTCAGATTTCTCAAATGGAATTCAGAAAATGTCAATTGTAATTCAGATTAGCTAATTGAAATTCAGAAAATATCAATTGCAATTCAGATTAGTCAAGTGAAATTCAGAAAACTTCAATTTTAATTCAGATTTTTTAATTGGAATTTAGAAAGCTACAATTGAAATTCTGGTATCGTCATTTGTAATTTAGAATGCAACAATATTGTTATTCAGACTACGTTATTCGTAAATCAGATAAATAACATGAAATTTAGAAAATATCAATTGTAATTCGGATTAGACAAGTGAAATTCAGAAAACTTCAATTGAAATTCAGATATCATCAATTGTAATTGAGGATGTGTCAATTGAAATTCAGACTGATGGATTCATAAAGGCATACATGAAGAACCAGAGCCTTCGGAATTATGGAATTATTTTCATTGATGGTTAATTGAAATCAATTTCAATAGGCAAAATAGAGAATTTATAATAGAAAACGTAGTTTCTGAAAAAAATATTGCTTTGTAATTCATTACCTACATTCATTACGCTTAGCTCAACAAGCAAAGGTAACACTGTTCCATATTTCTGAATTACAAATGTAGCTTTCTGAATTTCAATGGACTATTTCTGAATATTAATTGGCCAATCTGAATTTAAATTGATATTTTCTGAATTTCAATCGACTAATCTGAATTTCAACTAACGCTTTCTGAATTTTAATCAACTCTATTCTGAATGGGCGTGTACACCTTTAGTAGAACTTTTAACTCAAACCATGTTTATAATGATCATTTTATACATAAATAATGATTGACGACATAATTCGATCGAAAAATCAACTGGAATGTTTAATTTTTGAACATAAATAATAGTACCTTCTGAAAACGGATCCTCTCATGACGTAGAAACCTCATCCCGCCATAGTTAAAAGAATATAACAAACGCCCGAAGGAGACTGAGGCAACTGATATATTAATTCTTTCAACTGTGATCTCGCGCTAATTCACTCTGTCAGAAATCATGTATCATTCATCTCTGTCTGGAATAGTCTTGTTTCAGTATTAGGGTTTTGACGTCACATCATCGCCTCGTTTTCAGAGGTCCGAAAAATCGGGGATTTCAATAATTTTTTCTAAAACGTAGGGAGCTCACAGCAAGAAACGGTTTGCGGTGGTGAGCTAGTTTGGGTGAGTTCTATCGAATAATGAAATACACATTTTTTGTGATATAAGCCCATTACAAACGACAAAGTCTGAATTACAATTGACCAGTTCTGAATTACGAATGATTCATTATTCTGAATCACATAAATCACTTTCTAAATTTTAATTGCCGCTTTCTGAATTTCAATTAACGCTTTCTGAATTTCAATTGACTAATCTGAATAACATTAGATATTTTCTGAATTTCAATTACCTAATCTGAATTACAAATGATATTGTTCGAATTACACTTGACGCTTTCTAAATAAAGGGCGCCGTACATTATGCTATTTCTCGGCAAGTTTGAGGCAATGCAATTTTCTCGCAATTTTCTAAATTTATTGCGACTCGCCGTACATTGAGATATTTCTGTCATATTTTCTTGTTCATATTCACTATTTTCAGGGTTTTTGAGCCTTCAATGTACTTTTTGAGGATATTTGGTGTTTCAGGCCACGTTATGGAGAAAATTTGTATTTTATCAAGATGCTACGATGAATATTTCTGAAAATTTTACTAAACTTGCCTTGAAATTGCAGGAAAAATAGGACTGGTTCTATTACGAAACTTGCATGAAACTTGTTGTGAAATATCATAGACGCATGCGCATTGTTCGATTCAAAATTGCATTGCATCGAACTTGCTGGTAAATAGCATAATGTACGGCGTCCTTTACAATGGGAAAAGGTGTAGATAAATATCTCTCGCCAGTTGTTCAATTAGTAGCTTGCTGCTGTGCTGCGGTAAATCTCAAGGTTATCAGAAGGTTATAAGGTATTATGAGGTAAAAAAATATCGTTTCTGCATGAAAAAGGAGAGTACTTTTGATCTCTCGGCCTGAATGAACCTTTTTCCAGAAAAGTATAATTTTCAAAAAATTGTGATAAACAAGCCAACACACGATATTTCTTCTTTCTTCATAGATAAAACTTGCGAGTACCTTGATAGCTCAATTGGCTGTCTATCTGACTTCCATTGACATTGTATAACAAACAACATCTTTTATTTATACAATGTGTGTGTGACAGTGTTGTAAACAATATTTGTAAGAAATAAACGACTTTAATATGACTTCCATTCCGTTGGCTCGAGTTCAACTCCTTGCGAGGAGTCAATTTTTTTTACGTAATTCACGTAAAGTAATTTTTAGAAAGAGTATACTTTTTAAAAAGAAGGTTCATTCCGGCCGAGAGGTCCTATATATAGTCTTCCTTTTCATGCAGAAACGATATTTTCCTTCGTCATAACACCTTATAATCTTCTGATAACTTTGAGATTTTCCGCAACACGGCTGAAAGCTACTAACTGAATGACTGGCAAGAGACGTTTGTTTTTCTAGGTGCTACGTGGGTCCCTCTCGCACCCAATGGCGCAAATGCAGCGACCACTACTTTCCCTACATCCACAACCTGATCGACCGCCTGGACACCATCAAGCCGTACTTGCCCCCCAAGCTGCCCTGGGCCTCTTCGGCACCGTTCAGGCCCGATAGGCCACCGGCCCCACCGAGGCCGCCTCCGCACGGGGGACCCAGTCTGGATCAGTACGAGACGGCGTTCGATGAGGAGTTCCTGGATCCCCCCAAGCCGGGTGAGTTTGCTGAGATGATTTAGACCGTTACCATCGAGGTTAGAAGGCCAGCAGACTCTGACGTAAACAGCTCGTGACGTCACCTAAGAGAGGCCAGTGTTTTACCGCTTGTCGACTAACGAGTCAGTTCGTGTTAATCCATCGATTCCATCGGTGATTCACGTATGTTTTTGAAGTGGTCCCGAATTCTTTTGTTGTTTATTCATCAAAATAATTGGCGGAAAAATTACTGTTTTGTGAAATATTTTGTGTTGTGATAGGCGAAATAACAATGCCTTTCAAGTGTTGTGTTCCCTTTTGTCGGGGGAATTATGTGCAGGTGTTCCAAAAGTCCATGCTTTTAGTTTCCCGTTGGACAAGGAACTATCGAAAAAGTGGGTATATGCAATTCACCGCGAGGATTTTACTCCATCTAAGTACAGTAGTAAACAGAGCTTAATTTATAATGATGAATTAATAATAGAAGACAATTATACTCTCTCATGAAAAGTATGAGTAGAGGAAAAAGAGAAAAGCTTTGATTGTGCAGTTAGTTTTGTATTCGTATATTATATTCAACAAAATCATCTCTGAATTCGAGGAAATTTTCTTGAATGTTCATAATAAACAGGCATTTTTAACTCAATCCATTCTCAAATTTCTTCCTGAAAACGGTCATTTGCCTCGTGGCAATGAATGCAGAATTCATTCCAATGATCAAATTGCAACTATCATATTTACATGTACTACAAACACTCTACCTAAAAAGGTAAAACTGCATTAATCATGCAATGGGTTTTTTTCGAAAAAAATTTTTTTTACTTACGTATTTTTGTCTGAGAAACACGAATTTGATGATGAAAATGTGAACAAACCATTATTTATTAGGATATTTGACTATAAAGTTACAAATGTCACCTTCTTTCTCGCCTGTCTTCTGGATGGCAAAGTTCATGTAGATAAAATGTAAATACATCTTCCTAATCTCACTTTCATGATAGGAGTGTTCTTGTATTTATATCTGCTGGCAACATGAATCCTGATATTTCATTACATAAATCTTGGTATGTACATCTGATGACGAATTTTAGTACATCTGGTAACTAAATGGATTGCTCATATTTCGGAGTACATTGAGTAGCTGTCTATATTCGTCGCCTCAGAGCAACAGTAGGACATCAACAAAATCTTAGTTTAGAGTAAATTCGATTTTAAGTTTTCATAATAACTTCAATCCCACATATGTTAGGATCTAGTAAACGCATCTCAGTGAAATTTTGGACACTTCCTGAACTTCCAAGTATATTCCAAATGATGATGATTCGAAATCAATAAGAACAGCTGGGAAATAATTATATCCACTTGTCTCACTGTTGCTATAGAAATGCATGAGATTTTATAGGATATCGAAATGAATTTATATCTTGACTTAGTGTTCCTCAGGAATAATCAGCATTTTGACTAGGACATCATCCTGCAAATGTGATTGATTCCATCTTGTCCCATGTTTTTCATTGATTCAATTCAAATACATTGGGGAAATGAGCTTATCACAAAAAATAATTGATAAATAGTAGAAAAATGGTTCATTGAACGAAAAACAGACGCATACAGAATAACTGAACCTGATTCATGATCATAATTATTATTATCATTAGTTGTTGTTCCTTTCAGAGATAAAAAAAAACTGGTGATGCTTTTTTGGTATCAAATTCAGATCACACATGCTGATCAGATCATTCCTCTTATTATTTATTAGTAAAGGCGGTGGTTTGTTGTAGGCTGGAATTAATGCAACTTCCCGGCGTTGTGTTCGGGTTTTTCCTTAATCTCAATCTCTGGGTACATATTTGTGTGAATATTCACTGTGACCAACAGAAACTAAAATATTTTGAAGACGTTGCTATCAGTTCAATCGCTTCCAGAATACTAAACAGGACATGTTCAAGTATCGAAGCTGGGCGATAGAGCAACCTTAGGATAACCATAGATAACGAATGCACTCACGCGAGAATTTCAGTGCTACAGTGTTATCATAACCTACTGTTGCATTAACTCGATATCGAAATGGGAACTTGTGTAACACAAAGTTATGTTAAAAATAAAATATATAATGACGTCATAAGGCTTGTCTCAGTATTCCACTAGATGCCGAGGTAGTTTATATGATTCAAAAACTTCAATAACCCCGAAAGCCCAATTTTTTCACATGTCCTACTGTTGCTCTGAGGCGACATGTTGTTGTCTGAATTGTTATTGATGATATTACATTCATTTTTCAATAATCTGCAATCAAATTATCTTGCCACATTCACCACTCTCTACCACTTTCTTTATTATTTTTATATCACGTAACAACAAAAATATGCCTTCAAAGACATAACAAATAACAAATATCGTTTCGTAACGATTATCGTTCGCTAACGATGTCGTTACAGAATTTCCCCCTTAATTTCAATCCCGTTTTCTACCACCAGGTGGTTTTGGGCAGCCCCGCCACTGGCCTGTCTCCTACCTGCACAAAGAGATGCCGCCAAACGCGACCGACTCCCGACTCATGCGCATGGAGGCAGAGAATCCAAAGTACGCCGCCATCCAGAACCTCATCGAGGTCATAAAGAGCAACGACTTACATAATATCCAGTATCACATTTCGAACGAGTCCAACAGCCAAGATGACGTTCTCTTCGTCAAGATTCCGCTACCTGTCAATTTCACAAATCAGTCAAAAAATAGGTGAGTAAAATCGAACTTAAGACAGTTGCTAAGGTTGGAATATTCAAATTTGGTAACCTTCTTACAGCAATAAAGACCTTCAACATTCCAATAGGAGGAAGCAAATTTCGACCGTCATTTGCCCAAAGGATTGTAAAAATATTATATTTCGTCGACCGGCTCCTGTGCCAATCATTATCCTGAGCGGTTTTATTCCGGTCATATACTTTAGTCACGCGATAACGTGTTGAAATGAAATGCAAATAAAAGGAGATAATGTCGAGTTATCAAAAAGATGTTAGGGTCCTGTAGTTGAATAAAACATGATAAAACATTATAGGAGGAACCGATTATATTACCCAGCAAACATGATATTATCGGCCAAATGTTAGAATGACATATAGATTGTGCCACCAGAGCATGATGTACGCTTATTCATAAGTTTTTTTTTCTTCCATCCCGTAATTGACCGTTATAGATAAGTCACAATCGAGCCGCTTTCGATTCGACGCTGGAGACAAACTCCATTATATAAATAATCTCATAGTGTAACAATATATCTCCAGAATACTTTTATGCATTTTTTATGGTTGATCCCAGCAAACAATCGTCCGACATCAAGAATGATATATGTTATATAACAATAATTATACTCGTTATTTTCTACCAATCCATTTTTGTGGTACCTAATGATTTCGAGCTGAATATTTGTTCATTTCCCTATATTATAACAATGATGCTCCAATGCGAGGTTCAGCTCTTTACCTATATTCGAAAAATATTTGATTCCCAGTAATAGATCAAACACTGGAAAAGTAATGTGGCTAGAACATTATCAGACTACACCTATTCCACGTCGTCAAATCAACAAGTTATGATAGGTATATCGTAAGATCAAATATCAAATATAATTGAAGCCTTGTACTATTTCAATTCTGTTGAATGATGGATTCGTAATAGTATCTATCAAGTTTCGCAGTAGTCTAGTAGTGGTATAAGCGTCTGACAGTTGTTTGGATATCCGTTCGATCGCAAGTTCGAGTCCGACTCCCGACTTATTAATCTTCTTTTATTTCTAACCGAATAGTGTTGGCAGATAGTCGGGCGGCCTACTAGCGGCCGGTGTGACACGGGCTAGCCGGGCCGACGATGTATCATGATTGTGGCCCGCTGATGTTGACTGTCGGCAGTTTTTGAAGGGCGTCTAAAGGCCCGCGCGATACATGTTTGCTGGGTATAGTTCATTCTTGACTTTCTCGAGCAACCAGCATGTCCAAATATTCCATATTCTCGATAACAAAATATCATGTAAATGTTGGAGACTTGGCAACATCGTGCTGAATGCTGAGAACTGACAAGACCACGCCCACAAGACGTGCGCCGTGTTGTCACGTTCACCGGTTCAAATATCCTCTATCGTATCATGAGGGAGCATTTTGAGACAATTGAATTTTTATTGCTTATTATGAATATAACCAATACTCAATTTATGAATAATTATTGAATAACTAATATATCTGAAGTTTCCAATCGTACTTCAACACATAATCGTGGCGTCAGTTTTTACTGGCGGTAAATTTCTAGCCGTTTGAAAATTACCGTGGCATTATTGATGATTTTAGCACCTAAAAATCGACAAAAAAATTCTCAAAAAATATAAAATTGAAATGTATTCGAGTAATGATTCTATTCAAGAAATGAAAATTAAATTATTCCACTCACCTATTGGGGCAACTCTGTTCATCATTGATCGCATATCAGTTGAAATATCTAGTTCAATATGAATAGGATCGGTGGATCATTTCACTTGAGTAGTCATCAAGTAATGTCCACCCATGTTCCATGTTAAAGAGATACGAATGTATTCTTGGTTGCATATAGTGTGATCTGTCACGTGGTTTCCAATCATTGTTGAAAACCCTAGTACCACTTAGTAACGTTTCAGACGCATTGGTATACACGTGTTGACTATAGATGGCAGTGTATGCCGCGATAGCCTGATCCTACCTAAGAACTATGCCACTAGATAACATGCATGTATTATCCGGCGTCTTCGAAATGGGTGATATACTCGAGTTGTCCCAGTTGTCAGCAGACCGAGAGCGCCTAATGACGCCTGATGGGCCGAAACAGTACTGTCTCGGTCCTGCTAACAATTGGGGCAACTCTGCTGTGCATCCTAGATATCTATGATATCTAATTTAATTTGGTTTTATTGTAGCCATATCTTATCGAGGAATACCAGCATCAGTTTGGAGCCGGTGGATGTCAAAGTCGAGAATTCCATACAGCGAAAAAGATCCCACAAAGCACTGCCAGACATCATCCTCGAAAGGAAGGGAAATGAAGAATCGGCCGAATCTACCGATTCGAACGAAAAGTTTGGAGATATCTCCAGGCCCAGTCCCTTGTACAGAAGGGCCTTCATCACTAGAACTAACGTTACCATGCACGGAAGACGCCTATGAGATAATTATGAAGTTTGTGATATTTATATAATGGAAGCATTTCGAGAATATAAAATGTAATAGTGTATGATTTTTGAATACAGGGCAACCGATCACGGCGGTCATAGAACTTATTTGTTGAACAAAAAATGTGAGCATTCTTCTTTCAATAGTTAGTCTCATCCAGTATATTAGCAATAACTCATCAGAGATCTCGATTGTTCAACTCTAATAGATATAGATATTATCTCAGATATACTATTATAATATATTATAGGTATCTAATCAATAAATCAAACTACCTCCATTTGTTTTTATCGAAAATATATCCTATACAAGGTGGAATTGACTTAATCTGTTTATATCCATGGTAACGTATAGCTGATGAGCTAGGAAAGATTTATGCAACTAGCTCTGAGATGCATCTGAGGTTGAACTGTCGTTGGAACACTTTAATAGTTATTTATGCACTAGCGGGCCGTAAAGTGCTCTTTACCGCCCGGTTTTGCGGGTGTTAAGTCGCACTTTACCGCCCGCGGGCTCATTATGGCCCACGGGCCGTAAAGTGGACTTTACCGCCCGCTGTTTTCTGTTACCTTATATCCACATATCAATTCATGAAAAACCTATGATCATTTTCCTAGATTCTAATATATTCAGTGGTATATCATGAACTTCTTCTTCATCCGATTCCATATCTATCACTATTATTATTATCACTAATTTTTACTTTTCAGTCAGAGAATGACAATTCAGCTCGTTTATTGGATGTATTGATATAGACAACAACCATCAGCTTGATTGACAACGTCAAAATTAGTCAGCTATATATACTGGGTATGCATATTGTGAAATTCTGAAGAATGAATCTCTTCTAGAGATCGGAGAGTTTTACACGACACGACAATTGCAATATTCGTACGATAATTTTCATATGTAAATCATTCATGAACATTACGCTTCTCTTGATTACTGAATTTATACGTGACAAATTAAATTCGGGGGAATATTAGTTTATCGAAATCTATAGTCATTACTTTTGAGTCAGAAAATAAACCACTAGTGCATAAAATTTTGTATGTATCACGTGCGTGAAATGCGTTTATGGCCTTCAGCGTGTAATGACCCTCGGCTAGCGCCATCGGGCCATTATTCACGCCACAGGCCATAAACGCCTACTTTACGCCCTTGATACATAAATAACTATTATGTATCCAGGGCGTAAAGTATGCGTTTATAGCTTGCGGCGTGAATAATGTCCATATGGCGTCAGCGGAGGGCAATGGTTACTCAGTCAGTTTTTCGGAATAAGAGTAGTCTATTATGTGCTGTCAATCTATGTCATCACAAATAACCTATTTTGGGTTCGACCATATCATTTCGCATCTCAGAAATATCGAGAGAACAGTGATATTAGATAATGAACAATCACACCTGAAACATACTTATCACGAGTTACCCAAACACCGAGCTATATAAAGCGGTCCACAGGCGCTAAAGTGTCACTTTACGCGGGCGGTAAAGTGCTGCTTTACGTTGGTTGTGCGTAATAGTTATTCATGTATCAAGGGCGTGAAGTAGGGTGTTATGGACCGCACAGCGTGTAAGTAAGAACCCAAACGATAGCGAGTACTATATATTTGACACGCCTAGGTCCATAAAAGCCAGTTACGCCCGAAATACATACAACATTTCATGCACGACCAATTTATTCACTGTCACTATGAAATTAATTCATGATTTTGAATTCATTCGGCCTATAATTATGTATACTACTGGCAAAGAAAGTTCATTTGGTAGTCTCCACTAGAAATTACTGGAAAAACAATGAAATTACTTTACCGCAAAATCACCTATATTACTGCCCGTCGAACAACTTAATCGCCCGCTGTACTCCTTTATCGCCCTAGCGCGCTAAAGTGCTACTTTACGCTCGCGGATACGGGAGATAAAGTGTCACTTCATTGAGCCCATTCGTGCATAATAGTGATTTTCGTCGACCTCGAACACTTTTATATTCACACCACGGTCTTATTCACACGTAAAATCTATAGAATTTCGTGAATATCGGACCGTGCGTATCATAGTGACCACAGCGGATGGAACGTGTTTGCGGAAGATAAGTTAGTGACTGCGGAGGAAAAGTACTTGCCTTCAATATAATCGATTTTTCGTTCGTAAATTGGAATGTAAAATGTTATTTTGTGTAGGAAGGTGGGCATGGTAAGAACTGGGCATTGTATAGGAATTGGGTATCGTAGGAATCTAGGAAAGTGGGTGTGGTGGTAATCTCTCATAACCTGGCAACGTTTTGCGCTCTTCAGCAATCTTCGTAATCGTCGATATGAAAGGTAGGCATGGTGAGAATTGGGCATCGTGGGAATCGGGCATCGTGGGTATGGCCAACGTGGGAATTGGGTATCGTGAGTTGCTCCCGTAGAGGTCGACGAATATCATGCAATTTATAAATGTATGTAATCAACTGAAGATTTATAATAATCTAGGTAATTATAATAATGAATAAGTGTCAAAATATTTTTCAGTAGATTATGAAACGTTTCAGTAATGTTTCAGTAGATCAGAAGGTCAATATTCAAATCAGGAGATCTACTGAGAATTTAGTAGAACTGACAACCCTGCAGCGGACGAAAAGTGTTTGCGGACAAAAAGTTAGTGTCTTCGGACGAAAAGTATATATAGAAGGTAAAATGTGATATTTTGAAATGGTCGACGAAAAAAATAATATAAGCTCGCATGCTCGCAACATGTGCACTGTGATCTTAGCAGCTTAGCACTGTGCATTGGAAGCCAGAATATTGGAACACGGTACAGGAACTGTCTGCAGTCGTATGCGCCGTATTATTCATGTTCTATGCTTTGATGTTCTATGACGTTCAATGTTGACAAGTTGACAATTTTGACATTGACATTGTTTTGAAATGTTAAAGCGAAAGCGGATAACCGCGATAACGGCCCTTTGTTTATGTTTTTGAAAATTGTTGAAAACAGTAGTATTTTTGAATAAGTAGATTGTTAAGACAATTGTAGGACATGTATATCAAGTCCATTGTATTAGATGGTTTCAAATCCTACGGTCAGCGAACAGAAATCAACCATTTCGATGATCGCTTCAATGCTATCACTGGACTCAATGGCAGTGGAAAATCAAATATTCTCGACTCCATTTGCTTCGTTCTGGGAATCACCAATCTTACACATGTAAGTGCCAATATCCTCCGAAATTTCATCGTCAAAGAATCATCATTTTGTTCTGAAATCCAAATATGTTTTTAGGTTAGAGCGGCTAGCTTGCAAGATCTTATTTACAAAAGCGGTCAAGCTGGGGTGAACAAAGCCACAGTGTCCATCACTTTTGATAACACAAATCCCTCACAATGCCCTCCAGGTTTCGAAAACAACAAAGAAATCACAATAACCAGGCAAGTTGTGATGGGAGGGAAACACAAGTATATGATAAATGGAGCTAATGTTCCTAATAAGAAAGTGCAGGATCTGTTTTGTTCCATTCAACTGAATGTAAACAACCCCCATTTCTTGATTATGCAGGGAAAAATCACCAAAGTACTCAGTATGAAGGCTAATGAGGTAAGTATTTATTTTTATTTAAATTGGTGTTTGATTAAGCATTGTTGTTTAATTTAGATTTTAGCAATGGTTGAAGAAGCTGCAGGTACTAGGATGTATGAGGTAAAAAGACAGGCTGCTCAAAAGACAATTGAAAAGAAAGATGCCAAACTCAAAGAACTCAAAGCAGTGAGTATTATTTCAATCTCCAAACTACTTGTGTCATTTTTCCTGTTATATAGGGTGCAAAATCAACATTTGTTTTTATAATTTCAGATTTTTGATGATGAAATTGCTCCTAAACTCACCAAATTGCGTCAAGAAAGAGAACAGTTTCTGGAGTTTCAGCAAGTTGACAGAGAGTTAGAGAGATTGCTAGCCCTCTATCAATGTTGGCAGTACTTTCAGTCAAAAAGGGTGGTTAATAATGCTGCTAAAAATTTGGAAGATGGTCAGGCTAAGATCACAGCCCTAGAGGAAAACATTGAAAAGAACATTGCAACTGCCAATGATCTTGATAAAGAAATCACTGAACTCACCAGTAATACAGAATCTGTGAGTAATTTTGAATTAATACATTTAATCATTTACAGATTGAATGCATGAAACAATGGCAAGATTCAAATGTCATGTGTGTATTTTGACTTATGATAGTGAAACATTTCTTCAGGAATTCCAACTTTTGAAAAGTGGTTTCATAATAATGCAATGACAATCAATTTTGAAAAAACAGAATTTATTACTGAAGTGGGAAAATCTTGTAGATTATGTATGAAAAAAATTATGTGTCATTCCTAAATTGAAATGATTGAAACACATATTCCTAGTTTGGAAATGATATATTTTCTTCTGGTTTAGTTTCAATTAGTTCATTGGATTCAAGCATAGACAATCAAGGATAAGGATGAGTGAAGCAAACATATTTGATAAAATTGAAAGGTATTCAAAAATTGAACTTAATAATAATTATTAATAGAAGATATTATTCATTCCTTATTGAACAACTTCTATACAAATAATCACAAAAGATAGGAATAAATCAGGTTTATGTGTTTTTCTTCAAATATAATGATTCAAACCGAGATTCAAACTATGTATTATCAAATCAAACTAACTATTGATTTATTCCAAACTTCATGTAGGTATCAGATTAGATTATGTATGAAAAAAATTGTTTCATTCCTAAATTGAAACACTTATCAAGCATTCCTAGTATGGAAATTATATTGATTGTCTTTATTACCCCAAGAAACACGAGAAGAAACATTATTGTTTATAATAGGGATATATACAACAAAACATACATATAACATAATAAATCAAAACAATAATGATTGCACAATAATAATTGTTTTTCATGAAAAAAATTATAATAAAATATAAAATGGAAATATTATAATCAATAACAAGTAGTAATCAAATTGTGAATGATTAGTACTATTAGTAGATATGGAATTAAAGTTTACTGAGCAGATATTTCTTTGATTTGATTTCAAATTTTTCTGCTTCTATATTTTTCAACTCATTAGGTAAGGAGTTATATAAAATTATTCCATTATGGAATATTGATTGTTTACCAAAATTTTACTTATAATTATTTGCTATCAATAAATTGAATTGCCTCATTTCATGGGCGTGAATTGTATTAACTTCATTGAAATTCAAATTTGATATTTCCATCTGATCTTCCTGACAAAATGAATAAAACAACAAATTTTGAGTTTATATAATAAAACAAGATTCAGCAAGTCTTTAGGTTTGTATAGATTCACAGTTGATTCTAAAAAAGGTAAATTGAAAATGCACTTTATTGTTTTATTTTGTAATTTCATGAGTGGCTTCAATCGTGAAATATTTGTACTTCCCCAAATATATATTAGATATTGTATATTTGAATAAAAAAGACAGAAATAAATACTCTTCAGGTATCTAAAAGGAATCAAATTTCGAATTTTATATATAATACCAGCAATAGGATTCAATTTTTTCCTCAATTGATCTATATGTAGAGTCCACGTTAGTTGTTCATCAATATAAAGACCTAAAAATTTTGTTACATTTGTATATTCAATTAGTTTATGGGATTCAAGCATAGACATTCAAGGATAGGGGTGAGTGAAGCAAACATATTTGAAAAAATTTGAAGGTATTCAAAAATTGAACTTAATAATTATTAATAGAAGATATTATTCATTTCTTATTGTACAACTTCCATACAAAGAATCACAAAAGATGGGAATAAATCAGCTTTATGTGTTTTTCTTCAAATATAATGATTCAAACTATTATCAAATCAAACTAACTGTTGATTTATACCATACACCAGTAGAGATTACTACTGTATTTTAACAGGTATGAATTGAATTTTTTTTTTAACATCAACGTCAATTTTTTCGTCACTTGGAGCGCACAAAATGGAATCCCTATGATGTTCAAAAAAACATCATGCATACCTAGGGAGGAAAGGAAGAGGTAGAGTATATACAAAATTCTGGACCACCCTGTATAATAGCGCCGAGTGAAAATTATGATGAATGAAAATATTTTGAATTCATTGTCTGTATGAAAAAGTATCTATAATTTAAAGCACTGAAATACAGCTGATATTTAGCTGGTCAAAAAATCCCAACTTTCCATTTAATGATATTTGAACTTTACCAAAATTATTTTTCCTGCGGCACACTTGAAGTATACAGGGTGATTCTTAAATGCATCTATAACAAACCATTTTTAACTGACTTGATCAGGGTTTTAGTTTCTTATTACATGCCAAAAATTAGCACTCCCTAACCAAAAAACTTTCCCTACAAATTTTTAATCACCAGTGATTTAGGACATGTTTGTAGGAAATTGATCAAAACAGACCTCTTCTTACTTGATATTTTGTATTTTTGCAAATTTATTCAGAATTGAAATAGCTTTTAGAATTTGTTTACACAAAGTCAGGACCATATTAAAAAAAATAAGTTGATATGGTTCTACATTGCATAGAGAAATCAATATCACCAGGTTAAAACTCATCAAAAGTTGCTATGAGAAACTATTTTCTGTTTTTCTATATCTCCATTAACCTTTTCGCGACGGGGTTCGTTTGGCGCGCGTGATACATAATGAGAAAAACTCAATTTGATTTATAATTTAGTATATTTTGAACGCGAACAAGCCTATCAGTCAACAGTGAACACAATACATCAGAATGCCTAGTGGACGGAGGCCGCTTCCACCCGCTTCCCGTCGTTGTAACATGTGTTGTTATCCGATCATGACAACGTCAGAAGTGTACGAGAATCCCCGACCAAAACCATCTAACGGCGATGCAAATGAAGGGGATGAGACGATAGCGCGCGGTTCCCGTCGTTAGAACACTTCTCCGGTCGATTGAAAATATGCGGCTCCCGTGTATCAGATGCTTCAGTGAAATACGCATATATGCGTTTCCCGTCGCGAAAGGGTTAATAATGTAGAAAGAAAATGAAATATATTTTCGAAAAATTAAGTTTTTTTTAATATAACTGAAAAACTGAATGATCCTCTGAATGGGCAACTTTGTTCCTATCCAGAAGACTTTCAGAAGAAAAATTCAGAAGAATTCAGAAGAATTTCAGAAGAATTTATTCAATGTATAGAATACATCCTAACATTAACAATTCCAATATCATAACAACATACAGCATAACACTAACAGTTTCTTGATTAAATAATATAGGAAAATAAATATTAACTTTTGTTCTTTCATCATAGCAAGTCTCTTTGTCTCAGGTACTCCTTAATACATTTTTTAAAGTTTCTAACAGTCTCACATTATTTTATGCATTGCGGGATTATATTCTTTCAGTTCTTCATAAAACGTTGAGTTCCTACCCATATTGGTGAGCATTCTGATTAGATGAAAATCATTAGGAGATCTCGTTTGTTGATCACGAAATTCTGCACTAAAAATAACAAACTGATCTATGTAATCCGGCAATAAACCCTTCAATAGTTTTAAGATAAAAATCAATGCAAAAGTTGCATGTCATTCATTTACAGATTGCCATTGTAAATTTAGCCGAATTGAGCTCCTTTCTATATAGAACGAGAGAGAGGAAAGTTATCTCCTTTTCCATCTTTCTCTTCAATACTACCAACGTTGTCGCATTGAAATATAGAAAGATTTAATACCTACGCCGTCACCAAACGAAATGACAAAGCCGTCACCAAACGAAATATACAGAGGGGTTCCTTTACCACGAGGGTGATGTACCAATTTGCTACCCTCCAGCTCCCAGATAAGGCTACGGCTTCGGCTTCCTGCGTCCTAAGGGCTGTAGTGGATTCGTGCCCCCTATGAATGGTTAAAGGGTTTTTTTTTAGGATCACTATGGGGGGAGAGTTTATGGGTGGTCAAAAAAATCATGTGATACCTCCTTAGCAGTTACGGCAGTGTAGACTCGCCGCTAATGGCTGATATTTCTTTTTACGGGTTTGATTTCTGAGTGAAACAACTGAATGAGATTTTACAAGTTTATTAAAAAAATATGAAACGAAAGTAGGCAAGTTAATCAGTGTTAAGTAGCTCAATTGGGAGACAAAACGAAAGAAAAAAATCTTCTCATGCTACACGCAGCGTACAAAGAGCTAGATTGACTTTGAACTAATTCTAATAGCGGGCAGTAAAGAATGGTAAAATTTCGATCGTTTTCTGGCCAATATAAACGTGCGAGTCTACGATATCTTGATGTTCAAATTTTGCCATCAATTGCACCAAGAAAAGGGCCAGACGCCGTTTATATGTACCAGTAACCAAAACTACCTGGTGTAGGGTGGCAACGTACATACAGTACTGGTAGATAGTACATATAAAAGAATCTGGGATCACAAAATCAAATGCAACCCCACAGTATTAGTCAAGAAAATGTCAAAAGGCTTACCGATTCTGCGGCGTCGTCGTCGTCGCAGTTTTTTTTTTCTGGATCTCGAGACACTCCCGGAGTCAACACGAACGAAACTACCCTGATACTTAAGAATGACTTTTTGCCTAACGCGACCATTTCGCGATTCTTTCGCCGGACCGACCTGATTTGATTGATTGATTGATTGATTGATTGTCTTTATTACCCCAAGAAACTTTTCTGTTGATGATAGGGATACATAAATACATATAAAAAAATAATAATAAAGGGTTAACTATAATGAATTCCACTCAGTGGAAACGAATTAATATTGTGTCTTATAAGATTAAAGTTATATTTCATTCCTAAGTAATCAAATTATGCCACATATTTTTTTTCTTTCAAATTGTCCTGAGCAAGTATTTTTTAAGATTGATTTTAAACCTTCTTGCATCATGTATATTTTTTAACTCATTCGGTAATGAATTGTATAAAATTATTCCATTGTGAAAAACAGATTGTTTGCCAATGTTTGACTTGAATGTATTTGCTATCAAGTAATTCAATTGTCTAGTCCCATAATTATGGACTGTATTGACTTCATTGAAAGCTAAATTTGATATTTTCAACTTATTCCTGGCAAAATGAATAAAGCAACATATTTTAAGTTCATATAACGAAATCAGTTATTTTTCGTTTTTTCAATCTCGACAATTTTTTGCAGCAGCCTTGCGTCAGCCGTAGCTACCAAAAATTAAACAACAATTTTGCTGAACTAGCATCTTCATATCATTTTATTAGGTCGATAATTCGAATTGTTTAGCTATGGAAATCCTTGATTTTATTCTTCAACAAATTTATTTAATAATAATTGTCATAAAATCGATGTACCAGGTGTTGCATTTTCTTTCTATATCCCAGGATATTACAAAGGTCCGATAAATCTGTCCTTGTCTAACATATAGTTTTTTGCCACTGAACTATTTTTAATTCAGCAGTCTGTCAAATTACACACAGGGGTCATGACTCCTCCCCCAAAATCTGCACCACGTACTGTATCTCGGCAGACTCATCGCGGTAATCACCAAGGGAACGAAGAGGCATTCCTCTTCCTTAAGGAATTACTGGGCAGCACGAATGATCTGAAAGACCGCCTTTCTGAAGATACATTGGACCTGTTTGGCTTAGGTATTTTTATGCTAATATCAGAATACACTGAGGATGACCTAATAAATGTGAAGAAGGCAGCAGAATTATATACTCATTATCTGGGAGTTCCTGCTTCTTCGGTCGTTACAGAGTATCAGCTATGGATTTTAAAGTGGAGGCGAGAGCTCGCAGAAAATAGTTCAAACGTGACCAGTTGTGTCCCTTCTACAATAATTGAAGTTTGTGACAATGACATATCCTAATATCAAGATTTTACTGAACATTTTGGCAACCCTCCCCATAAGCGCCGCCATAGCAGAATAGCCATTTTCTACTTTGAGAGGAGAGGAAGAATGTCAGAAGAGAGGCTACCGGGCTTAGCTCTTTTAAATATTCATCCCGAGATCTCTCCTAACGCGTTGAAAATAATCAACCGATTCTCCAAATCCAATAGATTTTTTTTTGTAACTGAGTTTTTTGTTAACTTTTCCATGAATAATAGTATATTATGTAACAAGTGTTATAAACGTCCTTTTAGTAACGAGTAGTTTAAGCACGAGCGGAGCGAGTGTTTAATAAACGAGTGTCTAGAAGAGTTTATAAACGCGTTACATACTATGATTTTTGTACGAACTCCGAAAATAACATTAACATACCTGCAATTCCTGCTAACCTACAAAATAATTCGAAAGGAATGGGAATTGAGAACATAATACATGCAACTGCATGCAACCAGCGAGACACGTTTAAGTGATATTGGTTGTAGATGTGTCCAGTCGTCCAGTCCATTGCTTACTAACCTTTGCTTCACGTTTATTGTCATGCTCAGCGCAGAATAAATAAATTGTTCTCAAAGATGGATGCTCCATTTTTACACTTCTTGGAGATATGCAAGTACCAGAACATTCTCTTCGGTTTCACTTTCGTCTACTTTTCGCATATATTTTCAATGATGAATTCTGATACAAATAATGAATATTGTTTGAATAATTCTGATACAAAATTCGAAAATAACAGTTGACAGTTAATACAATTGACAGGCCAGACATGTCTCACATTACTGAAGCTGTGTTTAATGAAGTGCGTTGCCATGGTAATGTGTTTAAGAAATCGTGTTGCCATGGTAACGTGTTTAATATTTTGAATAAATCACAGATCGACAATCCGTGATTAATCGATCATTTAGCGTGGTACATATCCGTACGCTAAATGCCATTTTAGTTATGTGAGTAGAAAAATGTTTTCATATATACTTTAAGCTTTATGCTCCATTTGTTTTTTGTTCCGTTAGTTCGGTCAGAAGTCGAACAGGCAGGCGATCACACTTGTTATCAAGAGGTCGTGCGTTCGATTATTGAGCTTGGCGCTTCTTAGATTTGGGATAAATTATCCTCAGTGCATGGTATATCAGAAGGAATGGAGCCTAAATGTCACAGTGGTTTGATTTCTACTTCTTTTAAATGGAGATCCCGTCGCACAAACCTTTCAAGGGCTTCTGAAGGTTACTTTTCTGATATTTGATAAGTTCTATTGAAATCAAAAAATAATTAGAATTTGTTATACCTATCTATCTAAAGATAGGCAGATCGAAAAATATTTTTCTGAGTTGAATGTCTCTTTCAGAATGAGCAATGGAAGATTCAACTCTGTTGGCTCTTGAATTATTTTCTCAACTCACTTTGAAAGAAATTTGTTATCTTCTCCTGGGAAACAAGTTGCAAGAAAAATTTTGGAGGATTGCACAATTTAAAAAGAGTATTTCATTTTTCAAGAGACAGTGTCAAGTTTTTATTTTAAGCCACTGATCTGGATAAATGATTCCCATTTAACTAAATCAGAAGTATATGTTGTTATTGCAAACGATCCTACCAAGTTCGATGGACATCAGGTCTAGGAATTAATAAAAACAAGATTTCTTAAACTTGCCTCACTCTGTATCTCGAAAAATACGGAACTCTCTTCCATTTTTTGCGATAAATATATGCTTGAAATTTGTCACAATGTTTTACACCATACATATTTTGTTGGAAATAAAATCAGCCGACGACGTGCATCGAATCCTTCAAGAATTTTTTTTTCTACAAATCATATTGTTAAATTTTTTCGTTTAATTTGACAAAATAGTTTCAATAACGATAATTAATGTTCCAACTACCGACATTTCCAGGGGAATGAATATCCAGAAACCTAAAATCTGACCATATTGAATTTCTTCAGATATTTCATGTCTATGAACTTTTATGTCACAAGCTCCCATACTTCCATATTTTGAAATAAATGATATTGATATATAAGAGGATTTAGGTAAGCTGATATCTCGATGAAATCGTCACACAAGTCGTGACGATTTATTTGGGCAGCAGTGTACATAGATCAAAATTTGTCATGGTCAAAACATATTGAAATACTTAGAAAAAACATATATATCCAATAATAGGGACGTATACTTTTTAGGGTACCGAATAAAGTTCCTTTAAAATAGCTCAAATCTATATACTTCTCCTTGAACTATTCTAAACTATTTCTGTATGGGGATCAACAAAACTATCAATTATGAAGACTCTCAAAAATCTTCGAAATCAAATTATCAAGTGTATATACAGACTAAATTATTTGGATTTCACTAAGAACCTTTACAGAAGAAGAGAGTTATTAGAATGGATTCACTTTATAAATTCACACTATTATCATTCATTCATTCAGTTTAATATTGTCAAATGAAGGTTCAATACAATTTCACTACCAAATAACTTGAAGCTGAGTAATAGGTTTGAAAAATTTTGAAAGGAATTCAAGAAACATCTACTGCTGTAATATTGACATCTTATCTCATTTTTATAGTTTTCTCGTACAATTAATATAGGTTTTCTACCACCTAATAGCTGAGTCAATTAAGAATGATTTACAGTGGAACTTTAAGGAAAGATTTCTTCTTGAGTGTGAGTCTTATTTTACTATTTTCTTTATTTTGTGAAATATATGTATATATTCACCATGTTCCCTGCTATAACCAAATGTTGTTTCTTGGGAATAATAAAGTTGATTGATTGATTGATATGAATCTTTACGATACTCGTATCGTGAAAATCTATTATTGGTGATGCTGTTGCATTGTTTTTCACATTTTTTCTTGCCGTTTTTCTCGTTTTATGTTATACATTCAATGGAAAAATAAATATCATTTTTATAATAAAGGAAGCAAGTAAGCAACTCAAGCACCTTGAAGAACAGCTGAAAGAAAAGGAGAAACAAGAAGCGAAATCGAACGCCTCGCTGAAATCCTCGAAGGACGAGATCAACACCGAGGAGAAGAAGCTAAATCAGCTGAGGAAGAACTTGGAGGACGACAGGAAAGCTCTGGCTGCCAAAGAGCAGGAGCTGGGCAAAGTACAGGGCATGTTTGAAGCGCTGAAAGGGAATGACGAGCGGGATACGGAGGCTTTCGCTTTGTCCCAGCGCAAGTTCGAGGCTGTCAGTGCCGGTAGGTTTTTTTACAGCTTGAAGTTCACATTTCCATGCATTCGTCATTCGACTTACTACTCTGTCTAGACTGCTAGTAGTCATATCGCAGCAACCCGAAAATATAGGGTTAGTTGCTTGCCTGAAAACGCTTCTGCTCAATACGCAGGAACCTCCAAGCTGTCGTCCACGACTTTGACGTGGTATCGAAATCAACCTATAGCATCCATTTTGTTTATAGGTGGCGGCAAGGTGGATGGCGTTGTCTTAAGTGTTTTGTTTATGTCATCAGGGAAGGCTTAATAATTGTAATTTTCCTAACAAGTGCGGAAAGTGATACTTTCCCGCACGCGAATGCCGTTGACCCCGAACATCGCGAAGCGGAGTTCGGGCAGCGATTTTACTAAATATACTGTACGCTAGCACATACCACGCCCACCGTTATATCTCATCTTCAAAGTACTTTACTTAGGCAAAACTCAGAGACTATTTATCCTCAACGAACTAATCTATCCCTGATTGCAATATTTTTGAGGAAGGAAAACCGAATGGAGTGTAGAAACACATTGATTAATAATATATTTCAAAAGTTGAGTTCTTCAACAAAATTGAATAAAATGAGACTGTTTATCCTAAACGCACTAACCTATTTGACTTCAAATATTTTATGAAAAAGGAAAACCAGAATGAAGTAAGAAAACATTGGTGAAAAAAAAAGTTGCAAAAAATTGTTCAAGTTCACAGCGATTCAAACCATGGACCTTCAGACTGAAAGTCGACAGCGCTAACCAGTAGACCATTTGGGTGTATGAATTTACTGCGTACAAAAGATTGACAACGAGAGAGCTTCAGTCGAATTCGTGTCAAAATCATAAAAAGTGTATTCTTGCGTTGGAGCACAGTATAGTTAGTGCGATGTGCTGACTCCGAGTATATCGGTAATGTTTGGAGATATGACGTATTATGGTGGGCGTGGTTTGTGCTAGCGTGCACTATATTTAGTAAAATCGCGTTCGGGCAAGCAGTCGAGTGCGGGAAAGACACTTTCCGCATGAGTTAGGAAAATATTTTTTCTTCCAGCGTAGGAAAAGGAACAACTAACAATAGTGATATATTCTCTATCTTATAATAATTAGTGATATATCTATTGTGTGTACCGTTGTGTGAAGCATTATGTAGGTGAGCTTATTGCGGAAGCCAGCATGCCCATGGTGTTTGGCCTCTAGGTTACAGACATTTCTAGGAAATGAGCCAAAAATATTTCTTCTTTATTCGGTATTTTCACTTTTTTACTATTGCTACATTCAATAAATTTCGTGTAGTGCTTCTCATACCTTTCTTAAGACTTCGTAGCTGGAAGTCTTTTATCGCAATTCCACTGAATTGAAAATGACAGTAACGCTTTGTTTGTCACTCTGAGAATTACACTCATTTGTGTTTTGATTGACATGACAACTATTGTTTCCCACATCAGATCAATTGAAGGCTACAGGGGGATATACAGTGTCATTCATAAAGTCGGCATCATATGGGAAAAACTTTTATCAATGACTTATTTTGAAATTCGACTTGGACGTTAAGTTTTGCTTCAAAAAAGATGAAAAATGGCCTACTCAATCGGGGTCACGTGACTTTCGATACATGTCAAAAGTGACATTTTTTCAAATTAATCGCTGAAAGTAGGCTTATTTGTTCGAATATCGAAAAAGTTTACTTGAAAAAGTTGTTTCTATTCAAATTTTACATATGTGACTCGGATTTTATCTTTCTATTACATTTTTTAGATTTCGATATTTTTTGAAAATTTTCGAAATTTCTGTAATATTAAAAAAATTGTAAATTCGATAAAACTACTTCATACCAGTAGTTTCATCATGCTACTAACTTTCAATTACTAATTATCACTAATTATCGATAAAAATATGATTTTCTTCAGAAAATGATAATCTCCGCTTCAAAATTCTGTTATGTTTGATGCAAACATAACATCAAAATTCTGTTATGTTTGAGTCAAGCATTCAGAAACGAAATTCATTCAATTTTTTTTTACAGTACTGAAAAGATCAGTTTAAATGAATTTCGTTTCTAAATGCTTGACGATATATCAATTTTGCATCAAACATAACAGAATTTGTAAGCGGGTATTATCATTTTCTGCAGAAAATCATATTCCGGTCCATGATCAGTAATAATAAGTAATTGAAAGTAAGTAGCATGAAAAAGCTACTGGTATGAAGTAGTTTCGTGGAATTAACAATTCTTCAAATATTACAGAAATTTCGAAAAATTTGAAAAAAAAATCAAAATCTAAAAGTGGCAATAGAAAGATCAAATTTGAGAAGAATGTGTAAAATTGGAATAGAAAAAAATTTGTCAAGTAAACTTTTTCGATATTCGAACAAATAAGCCTACTTTCAGCGATTAATTTGAAAAAATGTCACTTTTGACATGTATCGAAAGTCACGTGACCCCGATTGAGTAGGCCATTTTTCATCTTTTTTGAAGCAAAACTTAACGTTCACCTCGAATTCCAAAATAAGTCATTAATAAAAGTTTTTCCCATATGATGCCGACTTTATGAATGACACTGTATACAGGGTTTCTATAAATGATCGTAACATCGTAGTAGCCGTTGAAATATTTCCTCCATTTGCCGCCTTTCATTTATGGAGATTCACACATTTGAATTTAATTTCTGACATCAATCATTATACTGTCATAGCTGATAAACTCACAATTGTCAGTTTTTCGTTTAAATTTTCTAACGATTCTGTTTTCTACTTCGTGATTGTCGTGTTGAAAAGAGGGATGGCTTATTCCTCGGAGCAGAATACATTTATTGTAATGTCTTATTGTCGAAATGGCACATTCATGAATGGTGGATGGAGTTATTCGGTAATAGCCTGCAAGAATGAGTACCTGGCGAAATATCCTAATGCACAGATTCAAGAATCTTCTTTGAAAGCCCACATCAGAACAATGATCAACAGATTCATCCAAACTGGAAACGTTAATGAAAAGAAATCAACAGGAAGGCCCCAAATATCGGAAGAAGTTGTCGAAAATCTGAGGGCGCGTGTTGAGCAAAATCCCCAAACGTCATTGAATCTGGTGTGCCACTAAGTACAGTCCATAAAGTGCTCAAGAAAAGATTGCATATGCACCCTTACAAGACCAGTGTACTATAGCAACTTCTGCCAATAGATATCCCACGTCGTCTGGAGTACTGACAATGGTTCCAAAATAATCTCAACGATGACCAGCTATTGGACCTAACATTTTTCAGCGATTTCAGGTTTTGGAGGTTTGAGAATCCCCACAATTTCATTGAGACTCCACTACATTCTCAAAAAATTGGGGTGTGGTTAGCAGTTTCTCGTAGTCGAATATATGGACCGATTTTCTTCGATAGCACTATCAATGGTGAAAGGTACAGACAAGTGATGTTGAACCATTCATCAATCAACTTGATGATGAAAAAATTCGAGTTGGCTATTTTCAGCAAGATGGGGCCACTGCCCACACCACACGTGCAAATTTAGAATATTTACAAGAATTTTATGACAACCGTGTGATGAGTCGAGGAGTTAATCCTTCTTTTCCAACACGTTCTCCAGATTTGACGCCTTTGGATTTCTGCCTTTTTGGATATTTGTAGTATACAAAAGAGACAATAATAACCTTGGAGAGCTGCAAACCTCAATAACACATTGCTGCCAAAATATTGGCCCGGAAATGCTGAGGAACATTTTCGACAACAAACGGCGAAGAGTTTTGAAATGCTTGGAGAACAACGGAGAACATTTTGAACATTTGATGTGGGTTAATGAAATAAACCGTTATTTATTACTTCGTCAATAATTATTTTTGACTTGTTCCATTATTTTTCTCTCCAATATTGGACTCTCCTTTCTTTGAGATACATTTCCATAGTGTATGCAAAACGATATAAAAAAGATCCTGTATATGATCTCTTCCTCTCTTTGTGGTCGTTAAATGTTGTTAACAGCATTAGTAGAGAGCGGCAAATGGAAAAAAATGTCAACAGCCACTACGATGTTACCATCATTTATAGAGACCCTGTATAACAATCAATTATTATTTTTCAATATTTTCACAATAAATAGTGCAATTTGATGGATGATTTTGTACAAACTTACTAAATACTGCAACAAAAAATCCTAAAATTTTCATATTGTGTCACCCACCACTCATATTTTGCGAGAATATTATATAAATGTTTTTCCCGCACTAGTGTGGGAAAAAATTTGCACTAGTGTGGGAAAACTTTTCCCGCACTACTGCGGGAAAATGACACTTCCCAAACTAAATTGCGTGCGGGTATAGGGTGAATCACGCACGCTTGTAGAAAAAAATAATATCAAGATTGAGTGATTATATTGATTGTTTCATTTTATTTTCGCCAATCCTAGGAAATATGATAGATGTTTCTTTTCATCGGTGAGTTTGTGGGTATTGAATAATTCATTATTTCAATCTGCTTTCATCAGTACAGCAAGTATTTAAATCAAATGGAATCGCTCCCCTGTAATAATAATATCCGATGGACCAGTGTGAAACTCAACATGTGGACTAGAATACTTGTAGTGTGAGCACCGCATCTCTCCACGAGCTCGAAATATCCACGAAAAAATTGACGCTCTGCCACTAAATTAGATCAGTTTGAATCGCGGCACGTTTGGATATTCTCAAAAGGGACATTTTTCCCTTTCATTTGCCTTTTCTTTCAACTCGTTATCACATGTCGAAAGTATGTCCGGAATAGATAGATAGATAGATATATTTATTTCTCAGAATCGGAAGAACAGTGGTATCAATATTACATTATAATTTAACAAAAGTTATTTCCGATTATCTAGCGTAAAGCATCGAAAAAGTCGAGCACGGTACATAAATAGTAAATTTCATGTGATATCTAATTCTAAATTGTGAGAGAAGTATTCATCTAAATGCTAATAAACATTCTCATGCAATAGTTATTTTCCTAACAAGTGCGGAAAGTGATTCTTTCCCGCACGTGACTGCCGTTGACACGAACGACGCGAAGCGGAGTTCGGGCAAGCGGTCGAGTGCGGGAAAGAAACTTTCCGCATGAGTTAGGAACAATATTTTTTCTACAAGCGTAGGAAATTGATTGAATCGTATTTAAGCAAATAGGAACAACTACCAAGAGATATATATTCTCTATCTATTAATTATTAGTATAATAGCTATTGTGAACTTACAGTTTGACGCATTATGTTGATTCATTGCGGAAGCCAGCAGGCCCATTAGGAGTTTGGTCTCTAGGTTCCAGACACTTCTATGAAATGAGCCAAAAATACCTATTCTTCATTCGGATTTTCATTTCTTTATTGTTGCACCATTCAATAAAACGCGTGTATAGCTTCTCATACCTTTCTTAAGACTTCGTTGGTGATAACGCATCTGTATCAAATCCCTATAGCTAGAAGTTTTTGATCAAATTGTGGCATTTCCACTGAATCGAAAATGACAGTAACGCTGTGTCTGTCACTTCGACAATTTCAAACTTATTTGAGGTTTGATTGGCATGACAAATTGACGTTTCCCGTCAAATCAATCCAAATCTATAGGGAGATTTTTATAAAAATCAATTTTTATTTCTCAAAATTTCTCAATTTTTACAATAAATAGTGCAATTTGATGGATGATTCTGAACATGCATACTAAATACTGCAACAAACAAACTTAAACTTTTATATTCCATCACCAACCACTTATATTACTAGCGATTTTATCATATCTTTGTTTTCCCGCACTAGTGCGGGAAAAAATTTCCCGCACTAGTGTGGGAAAATTTTCCCGCACTGTTGCGGGAAAATGACACTTCCCAAACTAAATTGCGTGCGGGTATAGGGTGAATCACGCACGCTTGTAGAAAATAGTAATTTTCCTAACAAGTGCGGAAAGTGATTCTTTCCCGCACGTGACTCCGTTGACACGAACGACGCGAAGCGGAGTTCGGGCAAGCAGTCGAGTGCGGGAAAGAAACTTTCCGCATGAGTTAGGAACAATATTCTTTCTACAAGCGTAGGAAATTGATTGAATCGTTCAATTAATTATTCAAGCAAATAGGAACAACTAACAAGAGATATATATTCCCTATCTATAAATTATTAGTAATAGCTATTGTGAACTTACAGTTTGACGCATTATGTTGGTTCATTTCGGAAGCCAGCAGGCCCATTAGGAATTTGGTCTCTAGGTTCCAGACACTTCTATGAAATGAGCCAAAAATACCTATTCATTCGGTTTTTTCATTTCTTCATTGTTGCACCATTCAATAAAACGCGTGTATAGCTTCTCATACCTTTCTTAAGACTTCGTTGGTGATAACGCATCTGTATCAAATCCCTATAGCTAGGAGTTTTTGATCACATTGTGGCATTTCCACTGAATCGAAAATGACAGTAACGCTGTGTCTGTCACTTCGACAATTTCAAACTTATTTGAGGTTTGATTGGCATGACAAATTGACGTTTCCCGTCAGATCAATTCAAATCTATAGGGGGATTTTTATAATAATCAATTTTTATTTTTCAATATTTATTAATTTTTACAATAAATAGTGCAATTTGATGGATGATTCTGAACATACATACTTAATAATGCAACAAACAAACTTAAACTTTTATATTCCATCACCGCAACCACTTATATTACTAGCGATTTTATCATATCTTTGATTTCCCGCACTGTTGCGGGAAAATGACACTTCCCAAACTAAATTACGTGCGGGTATAGGGTGAATCACGCACGCTTGTAGAAAAAATTATTTTCAACCTTGCTTTGAATCGCAAATTATTTAAAGATTTCAAACTGGAGGATAAGTGGTTATAGACTTTGATTCCTGAATACAGTGGTCCATTCCTGGATCTGTTGTAGTTATAATTTGGGAAATTATAATCTTGATTTCTAGTTGGATATGTATGTTTGTTTGATGGTCGTGGCAGAGTTGCTCGCTTTTTGTGTATTAACACACTTATTTTAAATATATAGGTGTTCGTTAAGGTAAATATCTTGTGGTCTCTGAAAAGGATTCTGCAAGAGTCTCTATAATTTAAACCAAATAATACTCGAATGGCTTTTTTTGTATTACAAACACTTCTGCTGCGTATTTTTTTTATCGCTTGGAGCGCACGAAAGGGAATCCCTATAATGTTCAAAGAACATCGTGCGTTCCTAGGGAGGATAGGAACAGGAGGTAGGTATTGGAATGTTTTTTGAACTTTTGGAGATTATATGTTGTTGGGAATACTTCCACAGGCAATGAATTCCAGAGCCTAGATGTACACCAAAATTCTATACCATATTGCATGATACTGTGAAGATAAGCAAAGTATACTAATTTTGTGGTCGAGAGGTTGGTATTTCTCTTAATGGTACATGAAGCAAAAATTGACCTACTCAATTTAGACTGAAGTGCAGAGGAATATTCCAGCCAGTTAAACTTGCAATCTATGTTTATTCCTAGGAATTTAGTTGAATTCACAGAATCAATAGAGTTTTGATCGAGGTAAATAGTGATATCATCCATATCTTTGTAAAGGCTGAATAGTATATTATTCGATTTAGAGTAGTTGAGAGACAATTTATTAGCTAGAAACCAGTCTGATACTCCCTCCATTATCCCTACTGACGAAGTAGTGAGCTGGTCCGAATTTTTTCCAGTAACTATGATACGATTTGAACCAATCTTCAGCAAGACCTCTGATTCCATAGTAGTCTAGTTTATTTAGAAGTATATTATTACTAACGCAATCAAATGCCTTAGAGAGATCGCAAAATATTCTAAGAGGATACTGTTTTGATTCTAAAATTTCATTAATTTTTTCATTTGAAAAGTAGCATCCGTAGTATTCATGTTTTTCCTGAATCCGAATTGTGAATCTGTGAGAATTTTGTGTGTGCTTAGATATGATGTTATTCTTTTGTTGACAATCCATTCCAGTAATTTTGAAAAATTTGAAAGCAGTGAGATGCCGCGGTAATTATTTGTATCTGTCTTATCTCCATTTTTAAAGAGCATCACTATGTCTTTTTATCAGTGTCATTGGTATGTTGTCTAGTCCAGTGGAATACTTAGGAGCAAATAAATCGCTGTGCTGTGGATTTGGCTCAGACTGAGGGGTGGCACAGGTTGGTTTTTGAAATATTCGATTCAATTGGTATCGGATGGCATAATTCTTATCTCGTTATCAAATCGCGAAATCGAGTGCAAATATCCGCACAGGAAAGTGCAATTGTTTAATCGTTTTGCCCATGATAGTGATTGGCACAGGTGCTGTACGATGAACTACAATGTTTTTACTTTACTTTGTGACATATATCATTTCGTTATTAGATGACGGTAGACTCTTCTACTATTAGAACGGCGGGCAAATTTCGATGTCGACAGGCTCCGAAAGGCCCGCTGTACAATTTGGTAAGATTATGTGACTAAGGCAGTAAGGCCTAAGGCAGAATGTACACATATTAATGATAGGCCTCTGTTTTCCAGTCGCTAATCTTCCACTGTATGAGAGAGATTTTGGTTACAAGTTTGGTTACCTACTGAATTGAAACATTTGATTTTTCTAGTAGTGATGAAGATGAGGATATGTTGGACGTGGTGTGCGTGAAAAAACAGGAAATGATTTCGGGTTCATGAATTGTGGCTGAAAAATAGGAGAATGATGGCACATTTGACGTTATGTATGATTCTCTCACAAATTTGACTGTTAAATTCATCATCGTCTCGCATTTCGACTATAAGCAACGAGTGACGTGCAACGGATGTGTATGTTCCTGTACACCACAAGAGACTGCAAAAAAGAGTTGTCTAGTACTTGTATAACCCTATATAGTATAAGAGATTTTTGTTTGTCGTTTACATGATGACTTGCTGTTGAAACATAATATTTATCAATATATTTCAATTTATTATCATATAATCATACAAATAACACAGTCCACTATCTATCAATCATCGAAAATATTGGTCCTTCGGGCCGGATCTATTCAAATCAAACTTTCAAGACTACCAAGTACCAAGTAGCAGAGTGTGAATTGTGTTTTAGGTATGGAGGTGAACGAGGAGGGCGAGGCGCAGACGCTGCAAGAGCAGTTCATGCGCGCCAAGGAGGAGGCTGCCAAGGCGGACACCGAGAGCAAGCAGGCGTCGATGCAGCTGACGTCCTGCCAGGCGCAGCTGGCCGAGAAGCAGCGCGGGCTCGGCGCCAACTCGGCGGACTTCGAGAAGGACAGGGGGCTGCTGGGGCAAAAGGAGAAGGAGGTGAAGGCGTTGGAGGTAAGGGGACACGAATGTTATGGTGGAAGAAACCTCAGAGTAATCCTTGATTATTTACACTTGATCCATCTACTTGTGAAATAATTTGGCATTAGTTCTTGGCTGGTTCATAGGCGGAGCTAGAGAAACTCAGCAAAATATGGCCGATTTGTCTAGACTCTTGGAATCTGCTGGAGTCCATCTATCTGCAAGTTTCTAAACTATCTAGGAATATCCATCTTTCTGAAACGGAAAAATCATTAAATTTAAAAAGAGTGATTTATTTTGCTTCTGCGGAAAAGACGCCACATTCTGAGAACCTCGGAACTGCTGCCTAATCGATGATTCGAAAGGATTTTTCAAATAAAACATCTTATTCAACTCAGCATAGTAGTAGTAGTAAGAGAGAAGGGAGGCGGTTGCCTAGCAACTAGGCCCCATGGGCCCTCTGTCGCATACATATCTACTCTTCCTACTTTCCTGGCTATTTGACACGTCGAACATCGAATTATACAGTCTGTCCAAGATAAGGTTGAACAGCATGGGGATCTCGAAAACGGTAAGAGATACGAAATCGGTTAAATGGGGAAAAAGTTGCGCATTCGGAGGCTCATATCAAGAGCCTTCGAAAATTTTGAAAATTATTTTTAGTTTTTGAGTTATATCGAAAAAAGTGAATTTTTGGAATTTCTATTTTATTTTTTTCTCCGTTATTATTAGAGATACAGCAAAACTGAGAATACTTTTTCATAGCAACTTTTGATGACGGTCAACGTGGTGATACCGATTTTTTCATGCGACGTTTCGTATTTATTTTTATTTATTTATTTATTGGAACCATCATCAACTTTTGTTTTTTAAATACGGTCCTGATAATTTTTTCACAGATTCTAAAAGGTTTTTTTATTCTGAATTCAACCATGTATTATACAAGGTGGTTCATTTGTGTTTCGACCTATTTTTGGCCATCATCAATGTTTTTTCGAAACTCCAAAGGAAAAATGCCATCAGTTCCACTTATTTCGAAGGAAAATTAGTCAACACACTAATACCTCATCAACTGGTTTCAATCAACAACCCATTTCATTTTGCGGAAACAAAAATTCCATCCATACAAATTCAGAATATGTCAATCGCTAAAACCAGGCGATGACGAAAGGCGCAAGACATTCTGTGAGTGGTATACCAGGAAATGTTGAAATTTTGCAGATTTCTTTGGAACAATCATCTGGACTGATGAAAGCATGGTCACTAATCATGGTAGCTTCGATAGAAAAAATACACATTATTGTTCACGAGAAAATGAACATTTATACATTACAGCGAGACACCAACACCGTTTCGGCTTTAAGATGTGGGTTGCAATATTTTGTACACGAATTATTGTTCCTTCTATTTACCATGAAACACAGACTTCCGAACGTTATAGAAATTCGCTTGAGAATCATCTTGAGGAAGCTCTGGATGATTTACCGATTGCGGAAGTTCAGAACTCTGTTGGTTTCAACAAGATGGCGCTCCGGTACATAATTCCAGAGAAGTCCGTGCGTTTTTATCCCTTGGCCGGCGCGGTCGCCTGATTTGACACAGCTGGATTTTTTCTTAGGGGATATATCGAACTTTGTACACGCAAATAACTTTGAGGATGAAGAAGAAGTAAGGGACAGTGTCTTCGAAGCATTCAATAGAATAACCCCAGAAATGCTTAGCAATGTCTTAGAAACAACTGTGAGAAGAGGATATCTTTGTTCAGAAAATAATGGTTATCATTTTGAACATTTGTTATGAATGTCTCTGTAGGTATTGTCAAAGTTAAGTTGTTAAAGTAATTCGTGTAAGAATTCATCAACAATTTTAAACGCTGCATTGATTGAATGATGTAGTGAAATATTTTTTATTCACTTCTCAGTATTGAATAACTAATCCATCAAGTTTGACACTAAATGATAAGAAATAAGTGGAACTGATGGCTTTTTTCTTTTGGAAGTTCGAAAAAACATTGATGATGGATAGAAATAGATCGAAACACATTCGAATCACCTTGTATAGTACATTGTTGAATTCAGAATAAAAAAAACCTTTCAGAATCTGTGAACAAATTATCAGGACCGTATTTAAAAAACAAAAGTTGATGATGGTTCCACGAATACGAAACGTCGCATAAAAAAATCGGTATCACCACGTTAAACCTCATCAAAAGTTGCAATGGAAAAGTATTTTCAGTTTTTCTGTATCTCTGATAATAGCGGAGAAAAACAATAAAATAGAAATTCAAATTATTCACTTTTTTCGATATAACTAAAAAACTAAAAATAATTTTCAAAATTTTCGAAGGCTCTTGATATGAGCCTCCGAATGCGCAACTTTTTCCTCATTTAAGCGACTTCGTATCTCCTACCGTTTCCGAGATCCCCATGCTGTTCAACCTTATCTTGGACAGACTGTATACACGTGCACACAGCCCAGCAACCCTCACAAAAATATAACTTACCAATATGTTCAGTAAACTCTGATCTTGATGAGCTTGGAACTTCCATAAAAATCATTCGTATCAGTGATATGAGAATTATATCTCTCACAAACAGGTTATATGACTTCACTCGAAAATCATTCGTATCAGTGATATGAGAATTATATCTCTCACAAACAGGTTATATGACTTCACTCGACTAAAACTGAGTTTCGGATTTCATATCCTCATCAAAAAAAAAAGAATATTCAGAAACTCACCGAGAACCGTTTCTGCTCTTTCTAGACCAACATCGGAAAACTCAACTTCTCCGAGCAACGGATGCACGAGCTGACAGAGAAAAGGCGGCACCTGAATCAAGAGACGCGCGGTATGCGCGATCGCGTCGACAACTTTTACGCGCGCCGACCGTTCATGAACTTCCAATACTCCGATCCGGAGCCGAACTTCGACAAGCGATCGGTCAAAGGGATGGTCTGCAACCTGATCGAGTGCGAGGATCCGGCGACTTGTCTCGCCCTGGAAACGGCAGCCGGCGGAAGGGTGAGTCAATCCGGCGATTTTTCACTTCATTCTCTTTTTACTTTCATACTTTTTATCTTCCTTCCTTTTTATCTGCCATCTTTATAGTCGAGGATCCGAAGTAAGGTCGACCTTCACCCATCTGTTTCAGGGATGAAAATTATTTTATAAGTAATTTAGTAAGCAAGTGAGTGATTTATTCAGTTAATGATGTGAAGCACAATGATTCATTATGATATATATAATTTAATGGTTTAACATATGTTTACGCTGGGTGAGGAAAAACCAGGAGCCGAGAGATACACAGGAGATCTGAAAGCTAGCCTATGGAGTCTCATAGAGAAGGCGGGGCTATCCGAAGAACTCTAATCCATTTTGAGGGCAGGCACAATAGATCTGACAAGGTCGCAGTGTGGAGGCAGATAGCCCGAAGGCCCCATTCTAAATCTAATCTAATCTATTCAATGAACCTCTGGAAGTTGTGAAAAAATTTCATACCTAGGTATAGCGTTCTCATCCTCCGCACTTTTTCTGGAAATGAGCAAATCGGCCACAAAAAAAGCTAATCAGTCAGTCGGTGCCGTTTTGAACTTCATGATCCGCTCCAAAATTAACTCCTGGGAATCCAGAATGAAACTATACGAATCGATTGTATTATCATCATTGTCATATGGCATTGGGGTTTGGGGTCTGCGGTATGCTGATATAGTGGAACGAGCTCAGGTAGGATTTTTTACTTTCTCTCCCAAGGAACACTCCTGATTATATTGTTCGCTTGGAAACATCATCCACCCAACTCAGACTAGTAATCTTCAAAGCAGCTCTCTCATTGCCTAATGACATCAAACTATTGGAAGACTCTCGCCTTCCTAAAATCTGCTTCTTGGCACTTACTGAATTGAATAATACAGATGGAAGGTACAATTGGGTTGAGCAGGTCAAGCAATGTTTTTTGTTCACTGATGAAGAACAACGCTGGCAGAATTTCTTATTGTACGTCTCCAAGAGTGATACAATCTATGGTGATACTGTCTGTGTTTTGGAAGCATTTCAAAGGAAATTACTGCGTTATGATTTAGAGAGATCATCGAATTCTTCATATCCCCTCATCTACCGAGATCTGTGCTTGTGTCTTGATGGCCAAAACTGCCTGAGAGCTTCTCTGCCCATGTATATTGTGAGACTGATCACTCAATTACGAACTTGCAGCAAAAAAACCCTCAGATTAACCTTCAACGGCCTAGTTTACTCAATCGACACTGAAGTAACATGTTCAATTTGTAACCTACATGAACTCGAATCACTTGAACATGTCTTGTTGGTATGTCCAATTTATAGAGGCATACGGGAAAATGAACTTTTTGAGCATCTGAATAATATAGAAGATATCACTCGGCTTTTGAGCTACGGAACACTTCTACAACTCAAAACCTTGGTTCACTCAGTGATGAGCATTTTGAAACTCAGGTCATTCATTATCAAGGAATAAACGTAGGGATAAATATAAAAATTGTTTGTTGAAAATCCTGACTTAGATCACCCAGTATCCTAGACAGGAGTTGTTAGAAAAATGTCACATAATTTATCGACTGTAATGTCAAGTTATTAATATAATTCTGTTCTCAACTAAGCTTTATTGAACCTTCACAACGAATCGATCAGGGCAGTGAAAACATATTAACGTAGTTTTCACATTGTTATTCGAATTTTCTTTCCTTTTTTTTGTACACTACTAACACTTAATCGGTTCTTGAACTCATCAGCATATATGTATACAGTTTTTTTTCACTCTTATTTTTAGAATTTTGAGATATAGTATTATGGAAACAGATTGATATAATTTTTCCGTTTTTCAACTCGAACTCCAACCCTTGTAATAAGAATTATAATTCTTTTGATACAATAAATGATCTATCTATCTATCTTATTACCATATCAACGACCACAGTAACTATGGTGAACCAGATCACGATTGTTATCGGCAACTGAAAATATTGGTGTGTTATGACAAGTAACTAAGTGAAACAAAGATACATAAATATAGGTCAAACACGCCACACCGATTGAAAGACAAATCGAAAAGGCAGCTCAAGAAGCTGAAGGCCAATTATTACCAAGGAAATCTGGAGAACAATATAAAAAACAGTTATCTGAGTTTTTCAGATGGTGCAAAAAACGGAACGTAGAAACATTTACAGAAGAAAAGGTACTGCTAGCATATTTCTTGGAAAGTCAAATAAGCTTGAAGCATCGTCATTGTGGAGCGTTTATTCGATGATACAAGCCACAATTGCAACAGACATTTCGAAAATACATTTCTAAATTTAGCTTTCATTGCAAAGAAATTCACTTAAAATTCCTAGGGATTTTTTTACTTTTTGACTACCTTCTTTTTCATTTCCTTCATTGTTTACTTCTTTTCTTTTTGTCTGCCTTCTTTACTTCTTATTTCACTTCCTTAATATCAACTTTCTTTGTTTTTAATTCAATTCCTTGTTTACTTCACTTGTTTCCTTTCTCGTTCTTTCTTGCTTCGTTCCTGTTTAACTTATATTTCTTTTGCAACTTCATGCTTCTTTTCTACTTCTTCCATCCATCCTTCTTTCCTCTCTTCTTCATTTTCTTCTGGTCAAATACCTCCTCAATTTTCAACTTCCATTATATTTCTTGCTTTATTCACTTCCCCCTTTTTTGCTTCTTTTTCACTCCCTTGTTTAGCACCTTCCTTTTGCACTTCTTATCTCCTTTATCACTTACTTCCTTTTTCACAACCTTCCCTTTTTCTTCCTCTTCCACTATCCTTATTATTGCATATTCTTATTTACTCTATTCATTTTCTTGTTACTTACCTTTTGTTTTATTTCATTCATATTATATTCTTTTTCTTTATCACTCACTTTTTCCTTCTTTTTTTACTTTATGTCTTCTATTCCAATTAAAACTACTACAAACCGAGCTACAAACCAATTCAATAACCAACTTTTTTTTCAGCTGTATAATGTTATCGTCGATAACGAAGTTACTAGTAAGAAGCTTTTGAAAAACGGTAGACTACAGCAGAGGACAACTTTCATACCTCTCAGCCAAATTCGAGCGGGCAAAATGGATAACAACGTCATACGTAAAGCACAGCAATTGGTAAGTTAATGAATGAACAAAAATATATATGTCGTCGTGGATGCGATTCTGTTTAAGGGCATCAATCTTGATTGTCGTATAGAATATTGTGCAAGACATTATGGGCTATAATTAATAAATATGTTACCACATGGCTTTCTTTAGGTGGGCGAGGAAAATTGCAAACCAGCCCTCTCCCTTATTAGATACGACAAAGGCCTCCAGAAGGCGATGGAGTTCATTTTCGGCAATGTGTTCATTTGCAAGGACATAAACGTCGCCAAACAGGTAATTATTTGTACTACACTCAGTATGTAACTTTTTTGATTTTTCTTCTCCTGTAGCTATTGGCTTCACTCCAATCTTCATTGCGTTAATTGAAGAAAGACCCAACTTTTCGCCAAAAATATTGATCAGAATATCACAATAAAAAATGAACGAACTAACTGTATTGGCTTCACTCCAATCTTCATTGTGTTAATGAAAGTAAGACTCAACTTTTCGTCAAAAAAATCAATAAAATATTGATCAGAATATCACAATAAACAAACAAGCTGGAGCACCCTTGTAAAAAAAGTATTGAAGATTTACGTGTTCACAAATTTGCATAACATAATCTCAATTTCTAGATCATACTACGTTTTTTTTTGTGGTGAAAATTTCGAAATTAAACCAATTTTTGTCAAATAAATTTGACTACCAATGGATTCAGTATTCTTCATTAGGTTAATCACAAAATGTCATTGATAAATTTTGATTGGCAACAAAGTTATAACATCTATTGACCGTTTTAGTGGTTCACGTGACATGGGTTTTTGGAGGACACACAAACTATCTGTTAGGTTACCTTTCATGAGCATAGCCCTGGCCACAACCACAGTATAAACAGTTTCACCAAACAAAGTTATGAAATTCTTTCCGGTTTCAGCTCGGATTCCACTAGTTCTGGTTTCAAATGACAAATCTTGACAAAATACAATGTAATACAATGTTTGCCCTCCAGCGACCTGTCAAATGACGTAATTCTGAAATGATAACTTTATTAATTTTCGTAACCTACCATATTAGAGGTTAGTTAGGTGATGTAAAGGGAATGCTTAAGTAACTCATCCTTCTTCAAATTCAATGGTCTTTTATAAGGTGTAAAAAAAAACAGGTGCCATTTGGAAAAGATGAGTTTTCGGCAATTTGTCAATGCAACATTTGAAGATTGCTTACGTCCATATGGTACATAATGGGTAAATCAATGAAACATCAGGAGCCTGGAATTGCAGCTAACTGTTCCACAAATGTTGGTGTCCTAACAGTTTGCGAGATGTTTGCAGAATGTTTTCGTAAACTACTACGGCGGTTATCGTTTTGAGAAAAATCGATATATTGAGAAAACCCTGATCAATAAGTTGACATAAATGGTTGTCTGAATTTATAATTAGAAGGCCCATTGAACCATGTGAAAAAAAAGTAGGTTTCCAGTTGAAATAGCAAAGTTGGTACCGACACACCTGGTATAGCTGAAGGACTTGAAATATCCTAGGTAGATTGGAAATAATCGATTATAACAGTATACCAATTTTGAAGTTTTTAATCCAACTGCAAGTATTGCTTTCGTGAATCACCTTGTATGTGTTATTTGTATAAATTGTAATACTGAATGTCGAAGATTATCTTCCTTGTCCTGGGAATTCTCTCATGGGAAACCATGAAAACTTCCTTCCGATGGAAAAGACTCCATAGGGAATGATTGGATTGATAAATAGACTAGATTAGAGAAATGATTCTCCAACTTGCTTTTTATAACAGAAACAAAACCCTGACAGATACGAGACCAGACCAAACTCAAATCTGGCAATCAATGTCATCGTGCTAGTTGTACAGGGTACTTTTTACACTCCTAACTAGCATGATCGCGACTCGGCGACATCATCCCCCCCCTCTAACAAGTCGGAGTTTATTTAGAATGTATACAGGTACTATTCCTGAAAATAACGACTTTCGTAATATCTTCGTCTAGATTCTGGTAGAGTTGCTTGACGCCTAGGCCTCGTACTGAATTCTTCTCCACCTGAACTTCGCTCTTCGTCAAACGATGCTTCTGAACCACTCCCAGAAGTAGAAATTCCATCCACTTGGTCCTTTTCCATTTCTTGCCGTTCTAGTACATCAGTTAGTGGAACAGGATTCAAAGTAGAGTAAGGTCTGATATCATCGATATGTACTTTGAAAATACGTCCATCTCGACTTACTTCAAAAGTATCTCTACCTATTTTGGCAATAATTTCATGTGGTCCAGTCCATGTTTTGCCTAAAGAGCAGGAAGGGGTTTTGCGGAATTCTCTAATCATAACAAAGTGTCCTACTTGTATCTTAGGTGGTGTAGTTTGAGGTACTGAATAAAATTTACGATGAAAGTTCTGATGATTCAATTCTGCTGTTTGTAAACGTTCTGATACAATTTCTGCTGTATTCTTTACCTGTTCATGGGTAACGGGATTTGCCCAATCCCCAGGTCTAGGTAGCTCATGTCCCAAAAGAAGAACACTCGGAGAAAATCCGGTTGCTCGGTTTCGTCTATTATTCAGAGCAAACTGAGCTTTAGATAGATTTGTATCCCATTTACAGATCTTGCCATAGCTTGTATTGGGGTGGTGAAATGATGAATGTGTAACTTTTTCAAAAAGTCTTGCCAGTTGATACTGCGGAATTGTGGACCATTATCTGTAATGATCGATTCAGGGAAGCCCCAACGTCCAAAAACACTCTGTAGAAATGAAATCACTGTTTTTGCAGTTGAATCGGATGTAGCAGCAATTTCTATCCATTAAGATAGGATCCGTGGCTACAATCAGATATTTGTTTTTATTTTGGGTTACCGAACAAGGTCCCATGACATCACTAAAATATTCATGTACATTACGAACATTTCCATTCAAGACACATACAGGTGTGTTTTCACCTAGGTGTCATAATTCTAATATATAGCTATAAGAATGCAAAACATATTGTAAAAATATATTATATAGATATTATATCCAAAATGAAATTGAAAAAAAAATAAGAAGTTACAGTCCTGGCCGTTTTTTGTGTACTTCTATGTATATAAACAATCACCCTGTACATGAATCATTCTAAACAGGTGACGTTCCACGACCAGATCAAGAAAAAGTGCGTCACTCTAGACGGTGACGTCACTGATCCATCGGGTACGCTGAGCGGTGGTGCCCCGCAAAGGGGCGGCAGTGTTCTGTTGCAATTGGCAGAGATATTGGAGTGTCGGGTGAGTGACGATTTCTTTCTCTATGCTGAGAGTCTTCAGTTTTTTTTTCTATCTATCTAGTTGGAGACGTTTGACCGCCTTTAATATTTCGTGTTTATCGTGTATCGAGTCGGAAATAATGTCGATTTGTTTCAATTGAATAGGTCGCGTGCACGATGACCGACCCTGGTGGGAAAATATTGAAACACAACCTCACTCTTCTGTTAAACATTGAAACACAACCTCACTTTTTTTATTTGTTTACAGAAGGATCAAAGGATTTAAATAGTTTTTTCTCCGATCGGCAGCAAATATCAATTTTGCTGACACATATCAATCAGCAAAATATTACTTTTCCTGCCTAGGCAGCAAAGTGGTTACTTTGCTGATTGATATGTATCAGCAAAATTAATAATCCATGAATCGTTCATAATTTCCTTCATATTTCATCCAAGACTTCTCCAGCAACAAATTCAACTCTATATTTTTTGCCACCTCCCTCATTTCTGGAGGTGTAAGTACTTCCAGGTCGCTATCACTGTCCATTATATAATAATTTAAATATACCGATATTTTTTCGCACAACTGTCAGAAATTTCATGAATTGTCAAACTATAAATATTATGGACATTTCCATAGCAACCAACCATTCCAACAACTGCGATTTCTATCAAATTTTATTTTAATTCAACACTGCAGAAAATATAAAGAGATATATATCATTATGAACAATCGGAGAAAAAATTATATGTTCAACTCGGCAGCAAAGTAGATTGGCTGCCTCAGCTGGATTCCTAACCTCGCTACGCTCGGCTATGAATTCAGCCTCGGCAGTCAATCTACTACTTTGCTGCCTAGTTAAACAAATAACTATTTCACAATATTTTGGTATACGAATCGTGTTCTTTGCTCTTTTCATTAATTCAAGCATGCCTTCTCATTGTGCTGTTGTACAATGCACAAAAAATGCAGCGAGAGACGAAGGGATATGATTTTTCAGGTAAATACAGTAATCTCACATAGTTTTCATTATGAAATTTTGTCATTTCTTATTAAAATTCCTTCTGTCATTTCTTATTAAAATTCCTTCTGCCACTTCTGCAATAGAAGCTAATACTGCTAATAGATTGAAAATGTCTACAACAGACACGATCATATTTCGTCAGCATGTCAGACCAGTCCTTCCGTTTGATTGCATGAATCCAATCTTCTTGCATTATTTTAGAAATTTCACGAGTATTTCTATCAGCTCCTATTGCAGAAGGAATTCGGATGAGAAATCAGAGAAATTGCCAAATTTCAAAACGAAAACTATGTGAGTGACTATAGTAGGTACTTACTTTTAAATCATAATGTACCAACCGGATTCCTTCATCTCTCCCTGCATTTGTTGTGCATTGTACAACAGCACAATGTAATGGATGCGCGAATTAATGAATAGCCGAAAAACACGATTCATATGCCAAAATAATTGTGAAAAACTATTTCAATCATTCATAAACAAATAAGAAAAGTGAGGTTGTGTTTCAATGTTTCACCTCCAGGGTCGGTCATCTGACAGTTCTTGCACGCAACCCATATTTGTCAACATGGAAAATTGTAGGTTGAAGTTTTCATCTTCTATTTTTTCATAACTGTACCTAACCAGAGAAAGATTTTTTCTATTTAATCTTCAAAAAGAGTTGCTTCAGTTGACTTTGGTAAGATTGTACCTACATGAAAAAATATTTTATTGGGCGTTGACTTTGCTTTGAAGAAGATGGAAAATGGCCTTTTCGGTCGGAGCAACGTGACTTCCGCTACATGTCAAAAGTTGAATTTTTTCAAATTAATTGGTGGAAATTGGCTTATTTGTTCTTTCGAAAAAAGTTGTCTGGGAAGAATTGTTTCTATTGCAGCTTTTAGTTAGTAAAGAAGTCTGATGATATTTTGATCGATGACTTTAGCATAATTTTGGTAAATATCACAGACATATCGTAAATATTGAAAAAAAAATCAAAATTTGAAACTTATAAATCGTTCTAATTCGAGACTCATAATTACTTTTCCCTGTGAACTTTCTTGAAATTCGAACAAATAAGCCCATTTTCAAAGATTAATTCGATAAAATGTAACTTTTGACATGTAGCGAAAGCCACGTGACATAAACCGAGTAGTCCAGATTTCATATTTTTCATGGCTTAACTTAATGCCCAAGTCGAATTTGGAAATGAATTATCATTAAAAGTTTTTCCCATGTGATGCCGACTTTATGAATGACACTGTATATCCTCATTTCAGATGTGGTATTATCCTTATTGTTTCAATAGTTTTAACCATCTTATATCCATCCATTTTTTTCCTCTTTGTTACATCAATATAATTTTCCTTATTATGATTCCTTCCACCAGACCACTTATGTGTGAAATATCGTTTTTTTTTGCTCATCATTCAAACTTTTTTTTTCTCATTATATAAACTATTGCTGTAGTTGAAATTTTTAGCTATCAACAATATGAAGGTAAATGAGTAGTTCCTACCTTCCTATTTTATTAGCTTGCATGCCATAAATTGCAAACAGTAATGTTTCATTACAGTACTGACGAGTTTCCAGTCCTACTCAAATTCAAATAGCTTCAATAATTCAAAATATTTCATCATTCATTGCAAAAACGATGTTTTTTCGCTATGCATCATTATATGATTTGAACTGTATGTGTGTGAGAATGAACAATATTCATACTCAAAATGTTTTAACATGAGAAATTCTTGTTCATAAACTGGAAGTTGAATCTTGGCAGGAATACGAAAAATTTCTAGGGTTAGGAAAACAAATGGACAACTTTGCTCTGAACAGAGGTCACAGCTTACTGAAAATATATAATATGGCCGATTTTGCATATTTTTTTCCAATGAACAGACAATGATATACCTCGCTTACTAGATTTTCATTTAGAACATTCGAAAATGTATATCACCTCTCCTTCTCACTCTTGTTGTTTTGTTTTGTGGTCTGTTGAAATAAAATATTGACCCGTTTTCCACTCATTTTGTTAATTACTAAATGATTTTCCGTGTAATAGTTTATCTTTTTTATTTATTTATTGAAAATGTGACATTTCGTTCGGAAACGATCAATTTTTATATTCTCTGATAATTTGTTATATTCTAAAAGATAGCAGCGTGGGTGAATCTTTTTTGGCCTATAGAAGAATTAGCGATATCAAGATGAAATAAACCATGTTGTCTAGTTTGGTAATCATGAATTTCATTGTTTCGTGTTGAAATAAAATTGGATTTCAATCTTTTATTTATGATATTGTATGTAATTTTCATATTTTCAATTTTGAACATTTCTTCTAATGAGAATGATTCAGTTATTTTATATAATTGATTTGTTGGTGTATCATATGGTAAACGATACAGTACCTTCAATGTCTTTATATAATGTAGATATTTAGTTAAAATTGTTCTTTGAACAGTATCCCCAAACATTTATCAAATAGTTAATACCACTGAGTATATGAGAATATAGAATTACATTTGCATCTTTTTTATCCAGCTTAATTAATATTTTTCAAAATGTCTCCGGTCCTCTTCAACTAGAAAATCTAAATCAATGTTGGAGACCATTCACTCCATATTTGAGAAAATATGCAAAATAATTTTCATCAATTTGTATTAATTTTCATTTTTACCCCAAATTTCGTAGAACCAACTGACTGGCAAAGACAGAGAATTCGAAAGAGTCAACGCTGAGTTAGATCAATTGAGCAGGGTACAGGAGAATTATAATTCTCTGAAAGAGAGACTGGATTTGAACAGACACGAACTGAATCTGTTGAAACAAAGACTCCAGCAAACGACACATCATAGACAACAGGAAGAGGTTGATAATCTGAAAACTCAGATCGGTAGGTTCATCCTCTTTCATCAAACTTTTTTGTTCAGAAAATAGTTCCACTCATCATAATTATACAAACAGTATATACAAATATTTCAAATCTAATAGATTTATTGTAAATGTTCAATTGAACACAATGGAATCCGCCCTTGTTCTTGGTTTTTAGAGATATGTAAAATGAGGGAGAAGAAGTAGTTTGAAATGACTTACATTCTCATTTTATAAGGACTATTTTTTTTTTTCAACTGTAACTCTTCTTTCTGAGATCATCAGCTGAAATTTTAATGAAACCTAGATGTCAGAGAAACAACTTATTCACCCCATTTCGTGTGGTTGTGGCTTCGTGTTTAGCCAAAATAAATTTTGTTGATATCCCGTTGTTATGGTGCTAATTCAGAAGCCACAGACAAAATGCAAATGGTATAAATAGAATTGTTCTTGTATCATTGTCTGTGAGCCACTTCTACTTGTCCTGCTGCTATGGATCTAGTAATCATTGTTAGATATTAATATTTCAATTCCAGAGCCTTCCGCAATTTCAGCAATCTCAGGTGGTACAGGTTTTCCCATATTATTACTGATGGGACCACCCAGTATATAATAGTCAATACACTTCAGATCCAAGTCGTTCCAAATAATTCCCCTAAGTTAATCAAACAATCAGATTCATTCACCTCGCCTGAATCGAAGATGTCAACAAAAACCGACCATCAAGTGAATTGAACTCAGGAGTTTTACGACCTAGACCCGATTCCAGGAGTTTAGCGAACGAAGCAAAATGCTCGCTAATGAATACTGGCCGGACGATTCAGACATTGATTCATTCAAAAGAACCCTGGAACTTCGTAGAAATGTCGGCGACCTTTTACTTTTCAATAGATACTTACATGGGAAATGTTCTTTAGAAATCTCTGCTATCATTCCACGACTAGCAATACCAGTCAGACGAACTCGACAAGCGCAGTCAGCACATCGTTTCGTTGTCAACCTCGAAATATGTCGAACAGCAACAGTACTACTTTAATGAGTTTTATATTAATATTTCAATAAAGGTGTTCCGTATTTTGTTTTTTCAACATGTGAAACATTTTCCCCAGAACAAGTGAGGGTTTGACTTCCATTATCTGAATGTTTGTCTGATGTATCTTTTTGTCATTCTTATTGTAGTAGTTCCTGTAACATAAAATGTTTGCTGATACTGAAGCTTTGAAGCTTCGAAACATATCCCAACTCCAATGTTGAATAAAGTACAGTTTTGGTGGAGTTGACTGTAAGATTTTCTTCCTGCCCAAGCACAATGTTCTTCAAACATTATAGGTTTTCCCTTTCGTGCGCACCAAGCGATAAGAAAAAGATGGCCCATCCCAGACGTATTGTCTCCGCTGAGAACTTGGTAGCAGTACCTACCTGGTTGTCAGTTCGCCCCATTGGTAGGAAAATAGGGATCAGTACTCACTTTGAACGCCTCTAATCTTGTGTTTGGCGCCTCAGGCAAGTCTCAGTGAATCCAAGGATGAGGTTAGTGGTAGCACTAATGAAGTGGCGCCTCGCACGTTACCCTGATAGGGACTAGTAGCCGTCATCCCTTCTTTCGTATTGATTTTTAGAACACTTGATTTCGTTACACTTGGTTTTACTCACGATTGATTTTTTTGGTACACTTGATTCTTGTTCCACTTAACTTTTAGTTACACCTGTTTTTTTTTTAATTTGATTTACACTTGATTCCTTTTACACTTACACTTGCCTTGATTTGTTTTGATTTACACTTGATTTTGATAGCACTTGATTCATCCACTTCGAACACATACAACTTTAATTTCATCGTATTATTCTTAATCACACTCTTGTTTTTCTTCGCTGCAATTTCCTCCATAGTCAGATCACCTATCGCATGTCATTACAACCCCTAATAATCTAAACCCTACAGCTTGACATATCATACAAAGAAACGCAGCTGGGGGGTGGTGTAGCCCATCACGAAGAAGTTAGAAGTTAGCTCAGGAAATAGGGAAATCGTACTCACCCCCGTGGTACAGAGGTAGGGAGGATCACCCTACTGTGACATATGGTGGAGGCGTCAACCGTCACCGTGACAATATGTCCTCCTGTTTGTTGCTTCAAACACTGTGTCACGACACCTTTGCACCAAATTGAGAAACATTCGCGGTGTTGAATGATTTCTTAACGGAAATCTCACCGCGTAGAATCGAAATGCTGCAGCTGCATCTTGGCGACATTTGCCATAAATCAAAAACATGTCAATAAGTTGATTATTTAATTTATTTATTTATTTAAGATTTCTCTCTTACAAACACAGCCAGGAGTATTTACATATAAGAGATAGTGCTTCAAAACACAAAGACTTAGAGCTAACTTATCTTCGTAAACTGCGCAATTTTTTAACAATTCTCAAAAAACAGTTGAAAAACCGGATCCAATGGCTAGCGCTAGACAAACAAAATTCTACTTTCTCTTAAAAAATGACCCATCTTTGAGAACACTCTTTATAGGTAAAAGTAAATGGAGATAATACAATTCCATCAAATTAAATATCCAAACGAACGCATGATTTACTCATGTTTTGTTTTTAAAATGCCTATAGAAAGTATAAAACGACCTATTTCATACACTCTCTGCTCCTCCCAACATTTTCTCATATCTCTAAAAACAAAATAGTTTTGGAAGGGTGTTTCTTTCCAAGAATCACACCCTATACGTGGAATCTACCCCCCTTTCCTAAACCGTTCTATCTACAGAGGAGCTCAAGGAAAAGGTGAAATCCTGCAAAGACATGGCCTCTAGATGCAACCAAAAAGCCAAAGAGCTGGAAGCTAAAATGAAGGACGCCAAAGGCTACCGAGACAGGCAGCTGAAAGAGGCCGAGGCCGAAATGAAGAAGCTGAAACAGAAGGCGGACAAGAGCAAGAAGGAGTGGAAGCAGCGAGAGCAGGACTACGAGACGCTGAAGATGGAGATAGCGGAGTTGAAAACGGGGATCGTAAACGTGGAGGCCCAGCTGCAAGGGTGCCAGGAAAGTTTGGAGCAGTTGAAGGGGAAGCACGAGGAGATGTCGGGAGGCATGAGTGAGTTGAAGGTATGAAATACTTTCCATAATTGTTCATTGTTATTCACGAAATATCAACTTTAACAGTCCTACAGGTAAGGTAATTACTCAGACTAAATAACAAACTATATGTCAACAATTCTAAACGCCGAACACGGATAAATGAATAAAATCCCGAATGGTGGGGATAACTGTGGAATCCTGGGCAGAAAATTGATATTTTTTTTTTGCAATTGCATACCTCGTTGGTCCCAGCACTGGGACCAAACGCCCCATAAGTCGAAACTTGTGCGGGGTTAGGTGTACATACAAAACACAAACATCCATGACCTAACTAGGATTCGAACCTATGCCTCGGTGGGAGTCCCCATACAAACTCAGCGCCTTCACGCTCTTCACGCTCTCGACCACCGAGTCACCTATTTGAAAGGTATATTTAATATATCTAATAAATCAGAATTTCTCTCAGTATGTATATAAACATGGATAAGTTATCTCTCACGTGTTGTAACATAATTGTATATTATTGTGTAATATCTTATAGAGGTTATTTGATATTTTCAATTCGCGAAAATAACAAAGTGAACTGTATCAGGTTAGCATTGTCAGCATGGAATTCATTATAATTGTTTCAAGCAGAATTTTATGCTTTTTCCTAGCGATTATGTACGATTATTGAGCCAGAACTCTCATCGACTCTCTACTATTGTATAGAGCTGATATTAAATGACGTATGAATTATATTTCAAAATTTCTACATGAAAATGCACTTTCAAAATAGTTTATTCAGTTCTGCGGAACTATAATCATTGAAAAATATTGCTAGTGATGGAAAAACTTCAAGTTACATCTTGGTAGTGAGGAATATTATCACCACGGAACATGCTCCTTTTCCTTACTACCATGGTATGTAAATAACTATTGTATTTCAGAATATTGTGAAGAACTTGAAGAATGAAGTGCATGAGGCCAAAGCAGTCATAGCTGAAAGAAACAAAGACATAAGCAGAAAGAATAGGAAGAAAGAGGAGCTGCTGGCTCAAAATAATGAGTTGCAACTCAAAATAAAAGAGTATGCCCACGAAATCAAGAAATTGGAAGATAGTTTGAAACATGCCAAAGCCAAGGTAAGTTTCGTACGTTGTTCTTCATATTCCCGTATTGATTGATTGATTGTCTTTATCACCCCAAGAAACATAGTGGTTTATAATAGGGGTACATAAACAATACACCTACATAATATGTTATACTTACAAATATGAAATTAAAAAAATATATATCACAAGCAAACAAAAAAAATGCTAATAATCATGCAATACCAAACTTGTCCATTATAATCTATGGTAAAATTCCATGTCTGGAGCAGATATTTTTTCAAGTTAATTTTGAATTCAGTTGCTTCCTGTATATTTCTCAATCCATTTGGTAATAAGTTGTATAGAATGATTCAAGTATGAAAAATTGATTGTCAATATTTGACTAATATGTATTTGCTATCAGTAAATTTGATTGTCTTGTTTCATGATTATGTAATGAATTGATTTCATTGAACTATAAATTTGAATTTTTCAATTATTTGAGACAAATTGAATTTAACAATATATCTTAAGTTTGTAAAGTGATATTAGATCTAATAAATCTCTAGGTTTGTATAAACTCATGGTTGGTTTTAGAAAATGTAAATAGCAAATATACACTTCAATGTTTCATCTCGTAATTTCATCAGTATTATCCAGTCGTATATATTTTAGGAACAGGAACTCGCTAAAAGAATCAAAGGAAACAATCCCAATCTGGAGAAAGCCGAGGAACTTTCCCACAAAGAAGGTTTGGAATTGGAATCGAGGGTGAAAACTATCCAAGAAAAAAAACAGAAGCTGGGCAGGGTCGTGAACACGAAAGCACAAAGTATGTTTGAACAGGAGGAAAAATTGGTAAGTAAGCAAATGAATATGAAAAAGGTTGAGATGAAAGTTTATTAGAACTCTGATTTAAATGAAATTATTAATTAGGCTCCTCTGGTATTTTCAGCAGCACTTTTGAATTTCCATTTTCTTTCAATGTACCGGATTGTGGTCAACAACATAAATTCCGTTTATAAGATTTCCGATGCATTAAAAGTTGTTGATTACAACCCTGGTATGAGCAGTCGATAATAAATTCACTACAAGTGTATTGACAACATTACATCAGCACGAAATGTTCAACGACTATATCACCACGAAGATCAGAGGATGACAACATATCTCTGTTATAGTCATCATTTTATTGACACTTACTTGCAGTGGTGCAACATAAACAGTTTCTTCTATGGAATACTGTCAGTCGTATATCCTCGACTGAGTTTTAATAATAGGTCTTTCCAGTATGGCAAAATTTTACCTTTTTTCGCTACAATTTCATGAAGGGAAGTCAAAAACGTTATACCAACCACATATTTATTGAAAAAATCGAATTATTCAATATTGAAACTGCTATTTCAATATCTGTGAATTTAAACGCTACTGAGCTGTGATGTCAGTATCCCCTTGCATTTTGATTGGTTGGAGTTTGTGAAGCACGCCGCTGTTGCCAGGTCTCTATGAAATCCTCGAATTGATCCCATATGCAATATGATGCAAGGAATGCCATGATTCGAAATTACTATGTAGTAGGTGATTAATTGATTGGTAATTCACTACTGATCACATTCAATTTACTCTGAACTCCGAAATATTCCATTAGTTTCAAGATTACCTATGATAAAATGTGATGCAGGCATCTAACAGTGAGACGCTTTTAATATGGTTCGGTTTGACTAATTGTTATAATCAACAAATTGAACAGTGTTTGAACGACTAAATCTCTAGTACACATTCCCAGATAATTTAATTGCTAAAATGGCAACTATGTTTACGAGAGAACGAGATGAAGCAGCTGGCGCTAACACAATGTTGCCAAGTTAAAATACCTCATTCTCCGCATAACTTCACTGTTCTCATTTCTCAATATCATTGACAAGAAGGCAGTGATGTTTGTACTAAAGTAATGATTGATTAAAATTTGTTCGTTTCCCTATAGTAGGTATAGGTATACATACCGGGTGTCAACGAATCTATTAGACAAGTCATAGCTTCTAGACCATTAGGTGTTTCAAAATGAGATTTGGTATTGGTAAATGGTATGTGAAGAGGAGAGTTTTCACATATTTTTTACTTTCCGGTTACTTCCGGATTCACCGGAAATGGCTCCGGTTCTAAATTTTTAAAGGGAACACCCTGTATATTGTAACATTTTTGGATTTCTGAGACAATTCTAGATCAGAATGTGACATTTTCGAAAGTTTTCATGCCTATTTGATTTTTTCTGAGTCACTTTTGAAATTAAATCTAGGTGGCCATGATCGGAAGTAAACTAATCTAAGGACCTCAGGTGATATCAGAAAATTACAATCGCGAAGTTTTAGTGACAAGTATGATAGATATGAATAAGACAAGTTGGCAAAATTACATTTTCGTGCCTAACTATTATTTTTCAAATGGCCACCATTTTTTGACAAGCACTTTCCGAAAAAAGGATATTTTGACGAATCTAAAGATACTAATTTAACTATACCAAATCTCATTTTGATATACTTAATAGTCTAGAAGTTATGACTTGTCTAATAGATTCGTTGACACCCGGTATATGTAAAGGTGAGTACCTGTACTTGAAGAAACTTCACTGGATGAGATTTGAAACTGATAAACGTTTATTTCAGTAAAATATCTGCACTTTATAAGAAAGCACTGAAAGTATTGTATCGCCTCTCATTTGATATCCCAACAAATGATCTGTATGCCATAACAGAAAAATTTTCATTGGATGAATTATATAAAATAGATTCTCTTAAAGTTTCATATAATATAATAAACAATAATCTGAAATCCAATTTTATTTTGATAAGAAACTCAGAAATTCATGGCCATCACACGAGACAATCAAAGTTATTTCATCTTGATTCTGCTACTTCTATAATTGGCCAAAAAAAAATTACTCACTCTGCTCTAGCTGAATTTAATAAATTCCACATAATATAAAAAATTTAAAGTTGAATTAAAAAAACACATGATTTCATCACGTGTAGTATATGTAGATGTAAATGTTATAAGATGAAGCATATACTTGGTAGTATATTAGGTAATTTAGTAACGTACGGTATATTATAATGTATAACATATAACTAGGTTACTTCTGACGTGCGTCAAATATATTATGATTAATAAGTGAATATTGTTATGCTTATATAAATAAATATATTGTAAACTGTACTAAATTGGGGAATGAAGAGAATTAGAATGATTTTGGACACGAGAAGAGACTGGCCTTAATTGCTTGAACCTGTCCCAAGTCCCGATATATTACATGGCGACCCTGCCGAAAACGTGGAAAATAAGGAACAAACAAATTGGACATCTTATGATCTGATGAAGAGCATGGTGAAGAAAAAATGAAAGTAATAAGGAAACTTCCAAAAAGTAGAAATGGGAGGCGAAAATTCGAAGGAAGAAGTCATAATATCGCAAGCTGGAAATAGTGGTGGCCAGACGACAGGGACAGCTTTTGGAACAGCAAAAGAGGTACTTACAATGGGAGTTTTAGTTTTAGCTATCATATGCATTATTGGTGCATGCTTCTGTCATTGTAAGAAAATATTGAAAAAGAAGATTAGAACAGAAATATCAAGAAGCATGGAACAAATCTAGGAATAATGGCAATGGCAATGGAATGGAATGTCAGTACCAGAAGAATTGATATACATATTGGAGGAAGCCCGAGTATTTTATAGAAATTTGAATAAAGACAATTTGGAAAGAAGGAAAAGTGCAAAATGTGTTAATAGTAAGGTAAATAAGTTAGATAGAATTAGGTCAGAGCTAGGGAGTTATAAGGTCAAATTTAATTCAGGTCAGCATAACCCAAAAATAATAGCTATAGTTAAGGAATATGTAAAGGAAATAGAGAAAGCTTTGAGTGCGAGCCAGAATACGTTAGATTCTCGTTTGCTAGATATAGGGAAAGTTGATGAGCCAGGTGACATCCAGACCGGTTCCTCCGGGTCTGAGAGTGATATTGTCTATCCAAATGAGCAAGTAAATTCACCTACGTCTGGAATAATGGGTGAAAAGTTCGATTTAAAGACGGCGTCAAGCCTTTTGCCCGTAATGAATGGTTCAGAACTTATCACTAAACAGTTAGTCGACTCTATTGAATGGTATGATGCACTCTTGGACCAGGCAGGAAAAAGGTTGTTAACTACATATGTGTTGAAAACACGTCTGTCTGAGGGGGCAAAATTGAGGTTAAAGTCGGATTATGCTAGTAACAATATTTTAATTCAGGATATCAAGTCAAATTTCATTTCAAAAAAGTCTCCAGCAGTCCTGTCTGTGAAACTCAATTCAGCTAAACAGCGCGGGAAATCTGTAGAAGAGTTTGGTAAATCTATTGAGGAGATGTTGGTTGATCTAACAATTTCACAAGCAAATGGTGACACTCACACTGCAGAAATTCTTAGACCAGTCAATGAAAAAATCGCTATTAATTCTTTCGCAAATGGGCTGCAAAACAACGATTTGCGCACTATAGTTAAATCTCAAAATTTCCAGTCACTGAGCGAAGCTATTAGGGGTGCAATGAATGAAGAGCTAACACATGATACACCTAAACCATTTTTTCATATGCGAGGAAATAATAGAACATTTCGTGGACAAGCGAATTTTGGCGGACAATTTGGACACCGTGGTGCACCACCACAACGCTTCAGTCCTAGGGGTAGCTATGGTTACCGTGGGAATGCGAGTAGGGGTCAGTTCCGAAAAAATTTCAATACCCAAGGATACAATCGTTTTCATTCCAGTCAATCAAGGGGAAATTTCGATGCGGGAAGAAATTTCTCAAGGAATAGTGAAACTAGGGGTAGGAATTATTTTTTGAGTAGTAACGAACGCCCACATACAAATAATACTGAGAATAAAGACACATCTGCTGACATGTTTTTTCGTTCCTGATACACAATATATAGCAAACATAAATGGATTAAATTTTATCAATGCTAGGTACAAAAATAAAAATTTTAAGCTTTTAATCGACACAGGTGCATCTGTCAGTGTCCTATTTAAAAATAATGTTGACAAACTTGAGAATGTGGATTACTCGAAACATATCAAAATACATGGTATTTCAGGGTCAGTGATTTCTCAAGGCTGCGTGAGTGTTGAGTTACAATTAAATGATAGCACAGAAGTGTGTCATGACTTTCTGCTGATGGATTCATCTGATGACGATTTCAATGGGGTTTTAGGTTCAGATTTTTTCATGCACTACTATACGAAAATTGATTTTGAAAAATCTATTCTTTCTTTTTGGATAAATGATGAGAAAATATGTGTACCGATGAGGTCAAAACATGAACAAGTTGTATCTATTCCTGCAAGATGCGAAATTATTAAATACTTTGACATTCGTACAAGTGAAGATTGCATTGTTTTACCAGAAGAGGTATCTGAAGGAGTTTTTGTGGCCAGCGCCGCAACTAGACCAAATAAGCTCAATAAGATTCCTGTTCGGATTTTGAATGTGCGTGAAAATGATGTACTGTTGAAAAATTTCACACCAAAAACAAGGTCACTTAATGAGTACGAATTCTGCAGTTTCAGCACAACAGATAAATCAGTTGCTAGAATAGATGCAATTTTGGGCATGTTGAAACTTGATCATTTACGACAATCCGAGAAATATTCGATTCAAAAAATTTGTTCAAAATATTCAGATGTTTTTTACTTAGATGAGGATCCTTTTACGACCACAAACATTTATAAACAAAAAATAAATTTACAGCCATCTAAGGCACCTATATATGTTAAACCGTACAGGTTGCCACATGCTCATAAGGAAGAAGTGAATAGGCAAGTTAATGACATGCTGAAAAACGGTATAATCGAAGAGGCCAAGTCACCATGGTCCTCGCCTTTATTAGTAGTACCAAAGCATGCAGATAGGGAAGGAAATAAAAAATGGCGTTTAGTTTTGGATTACAGACTTTTGAATAATTGTATTCAAGATGATAAATTTCCTTTGCCTTGCATAACCGATATTTTAGATTCCTTATCGGGAGCAGTATATTTCTCACATTTGGACTTGTCACAAGGTTATTACCAAATAGAACTAGAGAAGGAAAGCAGACAATGTACTGCCTTTGTCACCGACAAAGGGCAATTCCAAATGACAAGACTCCCAATGGGGTTAAAGATTAGTCCGAGTTCCTTCTCAAGGGCTATGTCAATTGCAATGGCAGGCTTGAATAATTCTTCGTGTTTTATTTACCTAGACGACTTAATTGTCTTTGGTAATAGCTTAACAAATCATAATCAAAATTTGGTGAAAATACTAGAGAGACTACGGCAAGTCAACTTGAAGTTGAATCCAAACAAATGTGACTTCCTCAAGCAAGAAATATTATATTTAGGTCATTTGATATCGAAGGAAGGGGTAGCTCCAGATCCAGAAAAAACTAAGGCAATTTTAAACTTTCCGGTTCCAAAAGATGCAACTGAAACCAAACGTTTTGTAGCATTCGCTAATTACTATAGAAAACATATAGCAAACTTTGCAGATATAGCTTCACCTCTAAATTTCTTAAGTAAAAAAGGAGTTCCATTTAGGTGGGATTCACGATGCCAGCAAGCTTTTGAAGCTTTAAAGCAGGCATTGATGAACCCTCCAGTTTTGCAGTACCCAGATTTTTCAGAAACAAACACATTTATTCTTAAAACCGATGCTTCAAATGTGGCATTAGGAGCGATTTTGTCTAATGAAAATGACAAACCTGTCGCTTACGCCAGCAGAAGCTTGAATATTCATGAGAGAAATTATCCAGTTATAGATAAAGAACTTTTAGCGATTTGCTTTGCAGTGAAAACTTTTAGAACTTATTTATATGGAAGAAAGTTTATTATATATACAGACCATAGGCCTTTAGTTTACTTATTCGGCATGACTAACCCTTCCAGTCGATTAACCAAATTTAGGTTACTTTTAGAGGAGTACACATATGAAGTACGATATTTGAAGGGTAAGACTAATGTGGCAGCAGACGCTTTGTCCCGTATCACAATCTCGTCAGATGAATTGAAGAATATGTCAAATAGTGTATGTAGAATGTTCGCTGTTTCGAGACAACAAGCCAAATCCGTTGGCGATAGCAGTTTTAGTAGCACTGTCCACGAAAGACTTGATCACCCTGGAGTGGTAGAGCTATTGAAACCGCCTAAAAGTTATGTAGAGGCTTATGTCACATCAGTGAATGATTTCAATAAAAACATAAGCAAAAATAATTACTGTTTGGAAAATGTAATTTATTTGGAAAAAGCAAATGTCATTTTATTTAAGCCAACTCGATCAGCGTAAGCATCTGGTGCATCGTTGAGAGACTTAAAAAAAATTTGCGAAACGTTTCAACTTCCGGAAGTAATTATATTGAAAAATGACAACAATAAATTATTGATTGAAAGTATTTTTAGGGATCCCAGAATAATTAGAAATATGAATATGAAATTATCGATAATAAAAGATGTGCAAAAGGTACATGGTAAGGAAATGCAACAAATAATTTTAAACGATTTTCACATTCTACCAAGTGGGGGGCATGCAGGTATCAGCCGCATGTACAACAATATCAAAAAATTTTATTTCTGGAATGGCTTGCAAAAAGATGTTCAAGATTTTGTTAAACGTTGTGATGAGTGTCAGAGGTATAAACATTCGAGGCCTTATGTAGAGCCTATGACAATCACTACAACCGCGACGACGGCCTTTCAAAGGGTTTTTTTGGATCTTGTTGGCCCACTACCAGTAGACTGTGATAATAATCAGTATATACTCACACTTCAGTGTGAATTAACGAAGTTCGTTGAATGCTATCCAATTAATAATAAGGAAGCAATAACAGTTGCGAAAGCCTTCGTTCAAAATTTCATCTTACGTTACGGTGTCCCACAAACTATTGTTTCGGACCAAGGTACAGAGTTTATGTCGAAAATTCTTAAAGAAATATGCAAAATTCTTAAGGTTCAACAAATTTCTTCTACGGCATATCACCATCAAACTTTGGGAAGTTTGGAAAATACGCACAAAAGTTTGGGCGCATTTTTAAGAATGCAGTGTGGTAAGTTTCCAGATTCCTGGAGTTCATGGGTATATTTTTGGAGCTTTGCTTTCAATACTACAGTTCATACTGAAACGGAGTACACCCCGTATGAGTTAGTATTTGGAAAAGTTTGTAATTTACCTTCACAGATAAAACGGCAAATTGATCCTTTATACAACTTTGATAGCTATCCGCTGGAATTGAAGTTCAGGTTGCAACAGGCACAAGCGGAGGCAAGGGATAATTTGATAAAATCGAAAATGAAAAGAAAAATCAAATATGACGAGAAAACTAAAACTATAGTATACAAACCAGGGGATAAAATTTTGATGAAAAACGAGGTAGGTACAAAAATGGAGGCGTTGTTTAAAGGACCATATGTAGTTATTGAGGATATGGCTCCAAATATTTTGATACGGATAGGGCATAAGGTTAAGGAAGTACATAAAAATAGGATTAAGCCATATTTCGAATGATAGATTATATCAGGAATCGACAACTATTTGATTAGTTTTTTTTTTTTTTTTGTTTTTTTTGTTTGCGTGAATGGTGTAGTATATGTAGATGTAAATGTTATGAGATGAAGCATATACTTGGTAGTATATTACGTAATTTAGTAACGTACGGTATATTATAATGTATAACATATAACTAGGTTACTTCTGACGTGCGTCAAATATATTATGATTAATAAGTGAATATTGTTATGCTTATATAAATAAATATATTGTAAACTGTACTAAATTGGGGAATGAAGAGAATTAGAATGATTTTGGACACGAGAAGAGACTGGCCTTAATTGCTTGAACCTGTCCCAAGTCCCGATATATTACACACGAAATAGATAAAATTTATACTTTGCCATCTACTGATTAGTCCCTGTGGCTATTTTTATGACTTGATCGATTTAGCATTTTTAGATTTTTTTGTTTGTTGTTGTTGTTGTTGTTGTCACCTTATATTATTTTATTATTGTTGTTTGTAATCAACTTCCTCATACCAGAATTTTATTTCTGACTGGAAGCTAGTTTTTGAATAAACAATAAACAATCAATCAATCAATGTCATGAATAACTGCCCTGTAATTCGATACAAAATTAAATTTCACTCATAATTTTGAATAATCCACCAACAGAAATTAACCGTCTAACTAATTATGCAATGCAATTTGTCAGGACCACGAATTTTCATGTAGGTATCATTGATCTAACAGCATCTGTATTATTTGCTGAAATAAAGAAATCGAGGAATGAATATCCTAATAATTATAACTTTCTGTCTAAATTGGCATTATTGTCAAGTCCATTGTGCATTTTATTGGCACCCGCGAGAAGGTGAAAGCATTACTCATCCAAATTGGTCGCGCATTCCATTCGAGATATATTTTTTTCTAAAAATCACTGGAAAGGCTTATTGGAAAATGAAGTTTCTTGAGGAATTCATAAATTTAATTTAACTGTTTGGCAAAATTTCCTCCGTTCCACAGTTGAGCTAGAAGATATTTCAGAACTTTTTTTAGTACAACGAATTGAGAAGGAAGGAACGAATCGTGGAATCGGACAAGAAAAAAATCTTGGAGACGATAGAGACGATGGACAGGCAGAAAGAGGTGACCCTGAAGTTGGCTTACGAGCAAGTGTCGAAAGATTTCGGTTCGATCTTCGGTACTCTACTTCCCGGAGCCAACGCCAAACTGGAGCCGCCTGCCGGAAAAAACATCCTGCAGGGATTGGAGGTATGTTAATCCTCATATCAACAAGAAACCCTAGATCAATGAACAGATGCTGAGTTCGGAAATGGAAAAGTGTCTACACTTTTGACACAGTATTCACCATTCTGTTCGTTAAATGATCAGGTGTAAGTGCAGAGTGCATTATTCAACGTTCTGAATAGAAAGATATATGCGATTAGTGTTCACACTTTTTACTCATCAGTTTTCGTCTGTGGATATTGAAACATCAAAAATGTTAACCCCAAATTTTATTGACAAGACTCATTCAAAGTTTGAACCAAAGAATAATTATCAAAGTGCCCATTATCATTTCCTGCGAATATACTAAAAATATTATTTCCCAGTTATCATAAGCATATTAATGTTAAAAATTTATCATCTTGTTCAGTGAACAGCTAATTGTTTTTCTGTAGATTGTTATTCAACTTGGATGAAAATAAAATAAAGCAAATGAAAAAAGGTACAACATAATTTTATTCACAATGTTAGTAGATATGATATGAGGTCAAGGTGATTCACATTCGCTAAGTACCACATGGAGATAGCAGCATTCTTCAACTGATATTTCTGGATGTCCTATTCTCGAAGCTTTATACATACTTTGCGTGTATGCCGTGTATTGATAAATCTGAATAATACTCGTATATGTTACGTTGAACAATCCATCATTTGATGAAGATCCATCAGTTGGTAAATTCAGCAAAACAGTGAATATGTATTTACTATATTCACTAAATAATTTGACATCCGATGTTAATTCGTTAATTTTCCGTGTAGTGCTATGAGCAAATGACACCAAGATCAGGTGACTTTTCACACTACACCAAACAACACCACGCCATCTCGCCTGACACCGTGATTTCCGAACTCACCTCTTATATAAACACCTGGAAGGGAGACTGCAACAAGGATAGCTTGTGTTACGGTAACCTGTCTCTTTCATACTCGTGTTGTTTAATGGCAAATTTGTGTATACATTTTCTTTCATCTGGAGTACTTGAGATCTTTTTTCATCTAAACAAGCAAAGAAGTGAAGACAGAACTTCATTGTTTTTTGTTATGTGAAATATCGCTAAATTTGGCGTGTTTTGTTTCTTCAAAAGGACTGAATTTGTTGGTGTGAATTGATTATTGTTGAAAAGATTTGTGATTTCGAATTAATAAACAATGGTTATTTATATTGTGTTGCCTTTGGATGCAAAACAAGCAAGACAAACAGAAATTGTCCTCCATGGGTAAGTTGAAAATTGTTCAGATTGAAAAAAACTATATTAATTTATTTTCAGGATGTGTTCATAACTTGGATTCTACGGACAAGGTTTTTCAAATGGACATTAATTTGCTTACAACTGCTTCTAATAGTGAAATGTTTATGGAAAAATAAATAGACCTTTTTTCTATTTTTTTTTTATAGTACTGAGACATTGAGCTTCGCTCACCCTGTACAATATATCCATTTGAATGAGAATATAATAATATAATTTCAATTTCGTATTCATTTGCCTTCCTAATCCTGTAAGAATCAAAATGGAATTTCACTTTTGAGTCAATAAAAAAATCAATAATCATTTTCAAATAATAATTCATTGCAACATTATCCTTTTTCCTTAATGAATATTTATATCAATCACGTATACTCTTAAATAAAAGCAAAAAACAAGAAAATATTTCAAATAATGCGAGCGCTTCCCATTAGCCAACATCAGATAGAAAGAGATAGGTATCCGACGCTCCAATGTTTTGATTCGAAGATAAATTCGGGTTTATGAATGTAAAAAACTTCTCAAACTATAAGATTTCCACAAATACTGGTACAATGAACTAAACTTAAATTGGCTTGAAAGGTCAAACAATATCTTCCTCCTCTCCCTATCCGCACGATGTTCTTCGGACACTATAGGACTTTCCTTTCGTGTGTTCCAAGAGATAAAATAAACTTTCTGAAAGACACTGTATATGAGTAGTTATCCCAGCTCTCCAGACCAGCCCCCCCCCTCCACTTTTCTCCAAACCACGTGACTCGGTCACGGAACATGGAAATGTCATGGAAGTGTCACGGAAGCGTCACGGAACATAGAAATGTCATGGAAGTGTTACGGAAGTGTCACGGAACATGGAAATGTCATGGAAGTGTCACGGAAGTGTCACGGAAACGTCACGGAACAGTGGGTTTGGCCTCCACCTAGATGCTGGTCTCTGATTGGCTAGCCGAGTCACGTTGACTGGAGAAAAGTGGTGGGGTGGGGCTGGTCTGGAGAGCTGGGATAACTACTTATATGTCATGACGAGGTCAACGCCATTTTCCATCTTTTTCAAAGCAAAACTTAACGCCCAAGTCTAACTTCAAAATAAATTATTATTGAAAGATTTTTCCACATGATGACAAGTTGAAAAACATTGTATGAGTTGACGTTCAATCTCGTGAGATACAGGGTGTATCTAAATAACACCAAAAAATTCGAGGAGTGTTTCCTTGTGAAATTCTAGCAAATAAAGTTCATATAAACATGTGTCCTAAGTTGCTTCGTATTTGAGAAACAGGATGTTGAAGTTGGAAGTATTAATTGTTTTTATTTATAACCCTCCTGTAAAATTTCAGAATGATTCTAATTGGGGTTATTGAGTAATTTCAAAACAAAATTTGAAAACATCTACATTAAAATTTGGAGTCAAAGCTAGATACAAAAATCACACAGAGGATAAAAAAAGTTGTTATTTCAATAGTCCAATCTAATAAAAATATAAAACTCAGAAAAACCGGTTGCGTACAATAAAATTCACCATGAATATCGATAAATTCACTCATTGTGACGCCACTGGAAGTATTATTTCGAATCTAATTGCACTATATTACTATTAACAAAACCACAACGTTTTATTGAAATTGATGAAAAGACAATTGAATAGAAAAAAGATTTTCCATGGAAATATTAATACCCTGTATCTCGAAAACGAAGCAAGTTAGGACACATGTTTATATGAACTTTTTATCTCCCAAAAGGGATCATAGGACACAAGGAATCGCCCCATGCATTTTTTCGGTGTTATTTAGATACACCCTGTATCTCACGAGATTGAACGTCAACTTTTTTGTCCCTCTCGAGGTGAAAGTGTCTTTGGGCGGCGTGTGGAAGGAGAATCTGTCTGAGCTGAGCGGCGGGCAGCGCTCTTTAGCAGCGTTATCGCTCATCCTTGCCATGCTGCTGTTCAAGCCCGCCCCCCTCTACGTCCTCGACGAGGTCGACGCCGCCTTGGACCTGTCGCACACGCAGAACATCGGGCACATGCTGAAGACGCACTTCAAAAAGAGCCAGGTGAGTCACCAACATAAATTATAGTCATAGGCAAGGTCACTTGAGACACCGGAAAACAAATTCAACCGGTCACGCGTCGGCAAATCCTTTGAGAATGTTCCGCAAGCGACATATTCTTGGATTGTTCATACCGAAACGGTTGAGATTATCTGGATCTCGCAGAACATCGGCCACACGCTGAAGACTCACTTCAAAAAGAGCCAGGTGAGTCACCCACATAAATGATAGTATTTGCGAGTTACTTGAGACACCAAAAAAAGTTTCACCAGACACGCGTCGGCAAATCCTTTGAGAATGTTTCGCAACAGAAAAATTCTTAAATTGTTCATACGGAAACGGTTGAAATTATCTGGATCTATCGTACACGCAGAACATCGGGCACATGCCAAAGACTCGCTTCAAAAAGAGCCAGGTGAGTCACCCACATAAATGATAGTATTTGCAAGTCACTTGAGACACCAAAAAAAAGTTTCACCAGACACGCGTCGGCAAATCCTTTGAGAATGTTTCGCAACAGAAAAATTCTTAAATTGTTCATACGGAAACGGTTTAGATTATCTGGATCTATCGACGACGAACTTCAAGAAGAGCCAGTTGAGTCACCCACATCAATTGTAGTCTGTGTGTTATATCGGAGACTGGAACCTTTGGCACGCTAATACACTACATACTGTTTTACCACTAACCAAACCAAATTTTCACACCTCGACACTTGTTTTGCTAACTATGTTAACATCTTCAGGAGAAGATTAAAACTGCAAGGTAACTCGAGTCACCGGGAAACAAATTTAACCGGGCACGAGTCGGCAAATCCTTTGAGAATGTTCCTTCCGTAAGCGAAATATTCTTGGATTGTTCATACAGAAACTGTTGAGATTATCTGGATCTATCGTACATCTAGGGCCAGCACCTTCTGAGGAGGCGAATTTACCCGAGCGCCGACAGCGGACACGATAAAAAAGAATCCGAGAACGATCGATATTATTTTTTGTACAGTGCCACTCGTAATAATTGAAGGTGCCTAAAGTTCGTTCTTAGTATTACTCATATTATTATTTGCAATAGATATGGAGAATTTCATAACAGAAATTAGTCGGTTTCAGGTCTTTTTCATTTTTTTTTTGTGTTTTACCCATTCTTCACATCATCTATCAATCCGATGTGTGTGATACTGAAGACTGATAATCGACCGAGAGCTTTCGTATATGTACATACTTATACCTATGTAGGTAATAATACCAGAGCACAGCTTATTAAGCTGTGACCGGAGTACCAACCAAGAAATATTTACGAAACAAGTCCGCAGAAAAATGATTATGAGGATAGGGGATACAAAAAACATGAGTGCTGAAGTTCTTCACAATTCATATGAACTTTTTTTGGCATTCCGTTTATTCATTCGATATTTACTCAATTTCAATGTTGAAATCATTCATGTGTATCATGACTGTTTGATTTGATTGAAAACTGAACGTGATAAGTGCGTATGTATAGATTCTAGGTGAATATCTGTAGAAAGTACCTATTCAATATAATATATACAGGGTTTTCGAACTTTAAAGTCGGCACTATTGCTAATTTGGTTATTATTGGAGCTATGATGTCA